TAAAAAAAAAAAAAAAAAAAGTGTCTTTAGAATGGAACCATCCCACCCCTTCGTTTCCACTGGGCTCCAGCCCTTCGATTATGATTGCCCACGTGACCCTTGTGCGCTTCTTTGTGTCTCCGATTTGCCAACACCTCCTTGTCTTGTCCTTTTCCCTTTGCATTCCCTGTTATGGGCATCCACAGATTTCATGAGTTCCTCTTCACAGTTTAACTTTCTAAACAAGTAGTAAATTTAAGCGGGGAAGCATAAAATGAATTACACTTGTTTCATGGTAATTTTATATATAGAGGCCACAGCATGTCCAACAAGGATATTCTAGATTCTAGGTTGCCATGCATGAATTTTCTATCCTAGAGAAAATTCATGCATGGTGACCTCCCTGACTTACAAAATAATCTCAAATTTCAATGCTCTAGCACAAATGGTTCTCAAGATATTCTGCCTGAAAGTTAGTCTCCTGGGCCAAATGGCAATCTTTTCCTAGCTAGAAAAGTGTTGCTGGGTTCAAATGAAAACTGAAACAAAGCTGAATCAGAAATCATTGAGAAAATTGCAAAATTTACATAATTCCTAACAGTGGGAAACAGTAACACAATGAGCTTTTGTAGTAACATTGCCATTCTAGCCAACAGCAATGAAAATAGCTAAATTTAACTTACTTTGTTTCAAAGAACAACATATTAAATATGAAAAGTCCAATTTTGCCATTTTTCATTCACTTTGATGGCTTATACAGGGTGATCCAGAAGTTTCAGAAGAATCCAAAATAAGTCATGCCAAGACCAAAAGAAACAGCACAGAAACTTTTATTTTTCCAGAACCAAGTTGCACTTTTATCCATGCCTTCAGTAGGAAGGCTCAGTGGTAGTTGTTTGCACAGCCCTGTACAAGGTGCACATAATGGCACATGATAGGTACTCACAAGATGTACAATGCCAGCCAAGACTTACTTTGGGTTGCATGATCACCCTGTATTTCCTATTCAAACAAGATATAAAATTAAAACTAATGTGAAATGAGAGCTCTCTCAAAACTCTTTCCATGGATGCAGTTATTTGTTTTATTTTGCAGCTATTTAAAAAATTTTTGTAACTGAGCACTTCCAATTTTTTTCTCTTGAAATATTTTATCCAACATTTTAACAATGGGAATCCTATTGACACAACCAGGTCTGGGTATATTATGAAAAATACAGACACAAAAGCTAAAATTTGTCAAGCTACATTAAATTCAGTGACTTGCATCTATTATACAATTGACTTTGAAGATGGGGACTGCAATGACATAACAAGGTTGTAGCTATGGTGTATCTTTTCTCATGCCTTTTTTTGGCATACTAACGTCATATTGTGTTATAAACTAACAGGAAGTTGACTATCCAATAATTTTCTCAGGTTCAGGAGTCTGTACCTAGTACTCAATCACTTTTCTCTTAGATCTGCATATATATAGTGCTAAATGCTGAACCTGGGAAAGTTTTTTGACTCTCAACTCCTTGCAATATAATAAACCTCTCAGAAATGTGATTCAAGCATGTGAAACAGAAAAGAAGAAAAAGAATTACAAGAATCACTGAAATTTCACTTTTGAATTCACTGATGTTTGAATCAAAAGAAAAAGAATGAGGAATCAATCCTGTTTGTTCAAAGGTCTCTGCCAAAATATACCCAGACCTAGTTGTGTCATCAGGATTCCCATTACTGGGTAAAATATTTCAAGATAAAAAATTGATGAGTTTACAAACAGGTAAAAAAAATCACACCACCAAAATAACAGAACATCCATGAAGAAAGCTTTGAAAGAGTTTTCTTGTCATATTGGCTTCAAGTTTCTATCTTGCTTGAAATCATTATGGTGAGTGAAAAATGGCAAAATTGGACATTTCAAATCTAATTTGCTGTTCTCTGAAACAAAGTATGTAAAATTTAGCTATTTTCATTGTTATTGACTATAATTGAAATGTTGCAAAGGGCTCATTGTCTTACTGTATTTTCCACTATTGGAAATTTGAATGCAAATTTTCATAATTTTTCAAAGCCTTGAAATTTCATAACTTTCTTTATAACAAAGATAAAGAAAATGCCTCAATGAAATCTGATTCAGCTGTGTCTCAGCTTTCATTTGAGCCCAGCAACACTTTTCAATCTTAATTTGAGGCAATGATAGCTGTTACATCCAAGGAGTCACTTTTTCCCCAAGGGGATAATTTTGGGGCAGAATGTCTTGAGAATCAGTTGTGCTAGAGCATATATATTTGAGATTTTTTAGGATGTGAGGGAGGTCACAACGTATGAATCTTCCAATGAAAATCCTAGTCAGATGCAAAACCTCTATTTGATCACTTGAGTTGAATGCTTCTGCATTGTTAATCAGGCATTAGGGATATTTACACAGGAGCAGATAGAATTCTCCTCACAGACTTCTGAATGAGGTGCCATCACAGGAGGTGTTGTTAAATACAAATGACAGAAAGGCCAACTGAGTGGCCATTTCTCCAACAAAGAAGGATCAGCGCAAAGGACTTGCCTACGACATCGTGCCTTCGGGGACGTGCTCCGCTGTACATGGCACCTCGCCGTTCTTCTCTTAGCCTCCTCAATTCTTCAGGATTCGGCACAAACTCATCTCTCTTCTGCTGTTCCTCTTCATTCTCATCATCTTCCTCTTCTTTATCTCCATTCATTTCTGCTTTCCTCTCCTGTCTGGTGCTCCGGTTTTGGTCCAAGGCAGCCAGAACACGAGGCATTTGTATAGTCCTGCAGGATCCATGACTCCATTTGATATTGAGAAAAGAAAAAGCTGGGCAGCTCCACTTTCAATGATAAGTGTTGCAGCATGGTATATTTATGGATACTGCACACTAAGGGTGCTGGTGGTGAGAACAAAATATTGAATTTTTGCGCTTTCACCATCACCCATAACCGCAACAGGTGCAATTATGAGATGGTAAATTAATGATTAAAAACCAGGGCTTCAAAGTCAAGTTCACAAAAAGACTACCCCAACTCATACCTTGCTCCTACAAAAACTGCACCAACCATACCTCACCTGTATGCTGAAATTCACTTTAGTAAAAGGAACTAATCTAGCAGGTATTGTTAAATTCAACATTGGTACATGCACACAAGCATAGATGGATGAGGCTACTTCTCAAGTGGAGACCCTTTTGAAAAAAAAGAATGAAAAAAAAAAGGTAATTTACCTTCCTTCCAGTTCTACTGCATCAGGTTCTTGTTGTCCAACAGCATTCTCATCATATGTATCATCATATTCATCCTCATATTCCAGAAGATGCTTGTCATACAGACTTCCTTCTGTCTCAAAGGCACCATATGCTGAGTAGAGATCTTGTAAAGGTGCCAGATCCTTTTTGCAATTCAACATCTCCTTGGCATCTTTGAAGTCCTCTCTCCTGCAAGGCAATGCATAATTCAAGCTGCTTATCTAGGCCTATAATTTTGCACAGAAACATTTGGACAATAACTGATGCAATGCATACTTTTTGCCCCTGTGGATCTTGGAGAGGTCGACATCATCTCGGCGAAAGATGTCAAATTCATCCCCATCATAGATGCAATGCCTGGACTCTAGGGCACTGGGTGGTGCTGTCTGCTCCTTCTAAAAAAGCATCTCTCATGATTTCAATGGTATGTGGCATTTAAAATCATTCAGAAAGCAAGAAAAATCACTTTCACATTCTAGAAACTAGTCCTTGACCAGATGTGCCTTCAGCTGCGAATCCTGCCAGAACATATATGGAACTATCCTGGGCATAATGGTCTTTATGGGGTAAACACAAAACATCAACTGAACAAAAAATTAGGAAAATTCATCTCTACCTTAATCTCAAATGCAAAGCTACCATTGAGCAAGAGAGTCATTCAAATACTTTCCCTCATCAAAGGATTTCAACTGTCTGTTTAATGTAGTGATAATGACTGATGTCCTTTTTGGCTGAGTGAGGATTATTAAGATGCAAAGAGCAAATTGCCTAATTGCCCAGACAAACAAGGCAAATGAGAATGTAACATCTAATTCATCATTTAAATAGAACAGAAAATTTGACAGAAAGAACATAAAACTAAGCACCACAAAGCATGTTTCTCAAATAGACTGCTTACTTTTCAGGGATTAACAAGTAGTTTCTGCTCAGTCTCAGGTTTTTTTCAGTTTCTTCCTTTACCCATTCATATCTACAAGCGAATTAGTAAGTGCTTGTGCTCCTGGTCATGACCATCACAAGCATACTGGTACACATATGTTTTTTACATCTATTTCTTCTTAATGTCATGCAATGTAGCTAGCTGACAAACATCTCTTGAAATATAGTCATTTTTGTGCCAGTGTGTATAAACTTTGTTTTGCTAGAACCTTGCCAGATTTAAAGGGCTCTTAAGGGAAAAGTGATTAGATGTGGATGGGTTAATCTCAGTCAACAAGCTGACCTTCCAGAATATTGGTTTGGTGAGCTTCTCTATGTGAACATGCTCCATGGCCCATGCAAAACGGTGACAATTTATGAAACATGGGATGTTTGATATTTTCCTAGCACTATTTCAACATGAGATACAACATGTTGATAGCACATCAGGTATCTTATTTCCTCTACGCAATGCCTTCAATCTAGTAGTGCTCCTATGGATCATGGCTGGATTGTCAATTTTTTAAAATCCCCATTTCCATGAAGTTTTTCAGGATATAGACTAAGTTTTGATTCACATTCTACCTCCATCACCCAGCAAAAAACTAAGTCTAAGTCCTTCCAGTGATAATTTATATTCAATTATGCAATGAATCAATGAATGACAGAAAAAGTTAGGCATCCAAACAAGTGACACCATGGCATCCTCCCCAGTAAACCCACTTCTTTTATAGTTCTCTTAATTCAGTATATAATGCCATTCAAATTGACAATTTCCATCAGATCCTAACTATAAAAAAATTCATATTTGGCACACTTTTGATGGAAATGAATAACAACAAGAGAAAACAAATGAGGGAGGCAGACCGGAATCGCTTGTCGAGGAAGAGTGTGATCCATGCTAGCCAGTCCTGGAGGGAGAGATTCTTCAAGGACAGCATTAATGACCTCCTCTGGATCAAACTTGTATTCCTCCAGGCAGGCCTACACCCATAAGACATAAAAACAGTCTCTCATCAAAGACAGCATGAGCTCCAATGCTTTTGGGCCTTTGTGAGAAAAGGCTTTTACAAACTCACAAGAATAAATCCTTCACCAAAGTCATGGAAGAGGTCCTTGACCTTGGTAATGAGAGAATCAAGTTCCACTCCAGTCACAACACGTGATGCAGCTGCTTCTCTAGTTACTGCCATCTCATCCTAAAAGCATATAAAATTTAAAGAAATATAAATTTGGTTTTGGGGTTAAGCATTTTCATTGTAAAACTTTGATTGGAAGAGACTCTGACATTGGATTTGGGAAGGAATTCCTCATGAGGGGGAGTTTGGACTCCTGGGATTAGAGAGGAACTGGCAGCTATGCTTGGTTCGTCTGGATAAGATGAAACCTTTGTAGGCCCAGGCCGAGATGAGGTTCGGGAAAGAACTACTTCCTGGCAGCTTCTGATTCCCTCCAATATGTAATCTGTTCTTGTTGCATCTCTGAAGAAAGAACCATTCAATCAATCTAAGGAGATTACCTGATTCAGGTGACCCAACATGTCAAGAAAAATAAAATGAAAAGGTAAAAAAACAAACAGGAATAATAAGAGTAGAGCTACTTTTCTTATTATTAATAATATAAAATGCCCATTACTCTAAAACTACAAGAGAGTCTACATGTGGTGAATAGGATATAGACAATTATGGTATATATGTTACTGTGAAAATGAAAAATTATTTTCATCATAAATACAAGAATGGCAATAAATAAAAGAACTGACATGTAGATGGAAGCCTGCTGAAGAAGACTCAAGTCATCTTCAAAGGGGAAGTAATTCTCATAATCCACAATGAAGGTCCTCTCTCCAAGACAGGATGTGATAACAACGATGAAATCCTCAACTCCTGTGCTGGCCTCACCCTGTGTGGCCTCGGCTCCCTTCCTTTCCCTGATGTATTTTTAACATGACTCATGCTTTAAATGCTAACCTCATGAAAAGGTGATCAAGATATTGCAAGAGGCAGATGAGAAATAAAGGCCTACCCAGAGGATTGGAGAAGAGGATGAATGCATGGGATGAAGAGAATCTGTCTGAAGGCATTAATGATGGCCAGACGTGCATGTTTGAGTCTGTCCAGCATCTTCACCCCTTCTTCCCTTGATTTACAGTCTGCATCATCACTCTCTATCACTTTTTGCACCCCAATGGATAAGTCTGGCATCACGGCGTCATACAGGGATGCCAATCTGAGATAGAAATGATAAAATCCTATATGTTGTCTCATTAGATAGTACAGACTTTCCCCAGATGACTCACCTTATATCAATGGTATACTGGTGGAAGACATTGGCAGATGGAGGGTAGATGTCGACAAAGCGCCAGAGACTCATGCACGTGTCAACAAGAAAGAGGCAAATGTCCTTCAGTTTCCTCCAAACTGGGCACCCTGTGCTCCTGCCAGACTCCAGGACCAGGCCCGTCTCTTGCTTGATGCTCTCAAACACCTGCATGACATCCAGAAAATAGATAGAAATTCTTAGCAAGAAGTCACACTCTAACACAAATTGAGTGGAGAGATTTGACAAGTTACAACATGGCAAACTATGTTTAAATTATGCTCTAATCTCAGAGAATTGTTTAACTATGATGATGCAATTAAAATAGTAATAGCTCAATTACCACCTGATAAAAAAAAACCTGGCAAAAAGTGATGCATCATCCAATTTAACATGATTATAATGACTCATACTTTATGTAATATGGTGCTGCACTAGTTGATTTGACTAGTTGAAATACTAGTCTCAACTAGTCAACTCTACATAACAAGTAATAAGGTACACATAGCAATGTTACTGATTGCTTCCTTTAAATGTATTATACCAGATAATATAAGCAAAATATATATTAAGATGTCTGCTTTACAAAAGTATGCCACTGCAAACAAAACCTGGGCAGTGGGATATCCCCAGCAGGGAAGAGAAAATTTGGCAAAATCCTGAGACCCATGCAAGGCAGAGCTACACATTTCCCTCCTAATATAAAATTAATGTCCTAGCAAGAAGGGGAATAAGACAGGGTCATAGGGAATGTGTGAGATGGGGGTCAAGAAAAAATAAAAATATAAAAAAGAGATGGGAGCTACGAAGGGCAAGACTTCCACAAGACTTTGAGATCTCTTTGGATGAACATCTCCTTTCCTTGCATGAACTGCTCAAATGTTTTTGGAAAGGTACATAATGGGCAACACATGTGCAACAGGTCAATGTGGAATCTGAAGAGCATTGGGAAGCAACTGGATGGAATCCAATGGTTTGGATCTACATCCCAGCCCAGAGGGAATGTCTCTCTAACAGACTAATCCATGAGAATTTCAAAATAAAATTTTTCATTTTATATTACAAGGGTTGTTTGAAAAGTAACTTTGCAAGGGCTGTCAAAAACATCTAATTCAAGAAACCATGTAAATGTTCAACTGTGAAGCCCAAGGGGCCCCTTATTTTTCAATGTAGACATAGACCTTTTCAAGGCATTTGTCCCATCTTGTGACGAACTCGTCCATCCTTTCCTGGAAAATGGCCAGGCTCGGACTTTGACTCATTGCCACACAAACATTTTCAATTCTTTGTAGTTATGGAAATGTTTCCCTCCCAGATGGCTCTTCAGGAACCTGAAGAGGTGGTGATTGGAAGAAGCCAAGCCAGGACTGTATGGAGGCTGGTTCAACATTTCTCACCCAAAAGGCACCAAGAGCTCCAAAGTCTGTCATGACATTGGGTTGGGCATTATCAAAGAGAAGAACTCCTCTTGTCAAGAGTGCAAAGACAGTTTCTGCAGTGGGCTTTGTGAAGCTTCATCAGCATTGCACAGTAGGTGTTGGCATTGACAGTTGAACCATAGTCCAAGAAGTCAGCAAGCAAAACACCTGCATCCCAGAAAGCACTTGCCATCACTTACCCAACTGAAGGAGTCACTTTGAACTTTTTGACCACCACCAATGAGACACACTTCCATGACATTGAAGCTTGTCTCTGTGGTATAGTGGTGGACCCAGGTTTCATCGCCAGTGACAATGCATTGCAAGAATTCCAGACCCTTAGAAGCATATCACTGCAAGTTGTCAAGACAGCATGCCATGCAGCTGCCCTTATGGACCTCAGTCAAATGTTTGGGCACCCAGCATGCTGAGACCTTCTGATACTGCAGGACATTGTGGATAATGTGATGCACAGTGCTGACAGATATGCTGAGATCTGAGACAATGTCACACACTGTCAGTCGCCTGTTCTCCTGAATGAGGTCATCAACAGCTTTGTGGTCATTCACAACAGTTCATGGTTCACGATTTTCATCATGGATCATTCACATTCACACTAGTGAACTGCCTACACCAATTCTTGACTTGTTGACAAGACACAGCATTTTCCTAATAAGCTCTCACAATTACCTGATGAATTCCTGCTACTGGAATTTTTTTTTTGGCCACAAAAAACAGATCCCACTCTGCATCTCAGTACAAAACCATATTCCAAGTTGGGTTGACATTTGTATGGCCTGCACCCAAGAATGAATAGTAGCTTCAACATGACCTCATAATATCAGTGATATTTGTTGGCTGTTCATCAAATTCAAAGGCCCTCACCAATATTGCCAATGACAATCTTGGTGTTTGAACCCTGTAAAGTAAAGTGTAAAGTTACTTTTCGAACAACTCTTATGATTTGCTTCTTGAAAATATTTTTCAAATATGGAATTCAAGTCAATTAGATTAAATTTGTAAGTTGCAATGAAATTTTGGTTAATTTCTAACTGCTTCCATGATTTGCCCATCTCTGATGTGGTTGATGATGTCCTTCCCAAAACAGACTTGCCTGCATGAGCGATGGGTGACTCGTGTTTGTTGTTTCATTCTTGATTTGCCAAAGTAAATGAATGAAATATGTTACACATACATCTTTTGTTCAAAGTCTATAGAATCAAAATCTACAATTAAAAAAATGACATTTTTGTATTAAATTCATTGCAAAGAAAAACTGGTAAGTAGATAAGGAATAGAATTACTTAAAATAGTGATGAAAGTTTCATGCTGACAGACATGCAGACATCCAGGTGAATGTATAATCTGCCATTTTTTCACAGGAAGGAGGTCCATTAAAAATAAAGAAACAATATTACAAACATAAAGCTCTATGAGACCACCCAAATATGTCAAAGAAAAAGGAAAGACATGGACAGTACATGGCTACATGGCAAAGGAGTAGATCTATATTAATGGGTGACAAAGAAAAGTGAAAGGAAACCTAGGAGGATCAGATAGATTTTTAAAAAGCCAATGCTCCTATTTGCCCTTAGATGGGAAAAAGAACCTCATGAGAATAAAATTACTTCATTGCTGAACTGCCAGAAGAATGCACAAGAACCTGGGTCCCTTCACTTGAGACACCATGAGCTTATCAAACAGTCAGGCAGAGACATGACACATGATCCATGAGGCATACCAGTGCAGAGTTACAGAATGAACCTAGGATGCAACTCACCTCATGAAGGGAGGCTGAAAAATGAAGCATATCATCAGTGTATGCAGGCTGGACAGTGAATATGTGTGAGACCATCTTGGTGAGAAGAGCATGGTTCTTCGGTCCATACATGCTGCACAGCCCAATGAGTTTTGGGATATCAAAGACATACTTGTCATAGATGAGCTGCGCAAACACTTCGGGTGGCATCTGCTCCACCTGCAAGAGGAATCACACTAAATAAAACAATCCAGCAGCCACTAAGTGTACTCTGCACATGAACAGGTTAGTGAATGGACTTGCCAAATGTGGCATTCACCAGCTGATTCATGCGAACATTCAGCGGTCTGAGTAATAGGTATTTGAGGTGGGTCACCTCCAGTATTTTCTGATATCTGTAACCTGATACCTATGCACAATCCTTGAGCTAGAGATGAATACAACCAAATTAAAATTTAATCAAGAGAGTGAGGGCTCTGAAAACCAACCAATGAGATTGTTTTTTAAATTAAATAAAAACTTGCATTCACATATATACTTTAATTATTTGAATCCTCTGCAATCCCTATGTTCAAGAAACTTCCCAGGCAAAACAAATTAAGTAGGTTTGATACTGATTGTAACTTGAATAAGGACTCCAGTATATAATTGTACCCATACCCCCGATTCCTTGTATGTGGCCATACGGATGAACACAATGAAAACTCGTCGAGACAGTGCCATCACCACGTGTTCCACCTCTATGTCAGATTCAGGGACCGAGAGGTCGTAATCACGTGGACCCTGGTTGAGGAATGATTCCAATGAATTGTGCAGCTCCTGGTCCTGCACCACTCTGCTCCAAAATCTAAAGACAAATAATCAAGCAAGAATGACATTCATTGGTTAGAATATATTCATAAACTAGGGAATATATAAAACCCTTACCTTGCATGGGGCAATGAAAGAAGGAACCCCAGATCCTCCAATAGATACCTGGCATTCTCTAGCCATTCTGCCTTCATATCTTCTTCCTCTGGGGGACGAATATATCTCACCCATACAAACGGCTCCAACATTCTTGAAAACTCCTACTAGAATAATGAGAATTACACAAAAATTATTAGTTTCATGACATTACCACACTCTCATGCTCTCATAATATCAAATAAATTTTTTTTTGGCTTCATTAAGCTCCAAGTTAGAACTGCAATAATGAGAGTATGCCATACTATTCACATTTAACATAACATCATCTGTGATGCAAGACAAAGCATACCTAATTTGTGCTACGAGTTGCGCTGAAAAGGACAAATCATGCGTCTTTCTTCAAATTCTGGTCCATACTGCCAGTTGATTGAATTTAAAACAGTTACTTTTCCTTGAAGGAACTACAGCACCAAAGTAACATGGTAATCTGTACTCTAGGCAAAACTATGTTCTTCATTCTATATGTATTGGAGGACATGTCGAATTTCATATGGTAGCAAAAAGGGACTAGTAATTATCTCACATATTAGCAATTCAAAACACCTCTCCTTCAAGTTAAGTGAAATGAGGGCAGTTGTGAAAATGTGATTTTTCATGCTTCTTAAATGTGAAGTAGCTTCTCCTTAATTCATGTAAATTTTCTTTCTTAAACTCATTCAATTTTAAAAAGCATTTTGGGAGAAGCTGACTTTTTCAATGTAAGGCTCATGGTCTTTCTGTGGTGGAAATAATGAATAAAATTTCATTCATTGAGTCAGCGATGAGATCATACACACTGAAATGGGTACAAGTCCAGTTCATTGATCCTGTGTTCCTGCAGTGGGAATTCAAGGCCAGCCACTATTCCAACATGGATGAAGGTAAGCCCAATGTCAATGCTCCACAAACTTGCTTGAGCTTGTAGTGCAGGACTTCATAGGAAAGTTTTTGATGTCTTTGAAAGGTCTGCTTAGTTAAATTAGGCCTGAGGAAAGAGCACAGGCCACGAATAAGTATGAGTGGTGTCAGAAAACTTTCACAAACATTTAACAAAAACTAAACCATAGCTTTCATTGCTTCCAAAATCTGTAAGCAGACACATCACACCTTCCTTGGCCCCCTTAGCCATGATTTGAATCTATGCAATTCCACCATCTGGAGGGCAATGATTGTATATCAATTCCATAGAATCCTGTATCTTGCTGTAGCTGGCATTCAAAATAATGCAAGTTTTTGCCAATTTTCAGTGGACAGTCCAGATATAGCCCACACTAACTATTATCAGTTTGGCCAGTTGAAGGACCAACTTTATGGAATATGCTTCATCAGATCTTCAAAGTTTTTAAAGTCAGTGTCAACAACAAGATACAGGTTTCCTCTAAGGGATATACAATCATCCTCCAGATGGCAAAAGTATACCAATTTGAACAGTGATTATTTTGATGGCTAAGGGAGGTATGATATTTTTGTGTACCATTTATGGCAGTGATAAAAACAATGGTTTAGGTTTTATTAGATGCCTGAAGATAGTTTTTGGACACCCTTTAGTACTTTTGAAAGTTGAGTTAGCTGACCTGAGATGACAGTCTCATGAACATTCTAACTTTCTGAGGACCCAAGAAAAAACAGGCCCATCAAAAGGACAATCATCATCGCAAGATCTAGGCTAATTTGAAATTCCATCATTAGCTTCCTTTCTTATGAAGAGTTGAAAGTATGAATGCCAGAGGAAGATGCCAGCTGTGAAATACAAGTTGAAATCAAGAGTCAAGGAATGCATGACAAGCCTGTGGCTTTTAAGAAACAAACACTTAAGGGCTTTCTGGTCCAGTTGCAATCCTGGGGGGACAAGTGATGAACTCAATGATGGGTCAATAGAGCTTCTTCTTTCTTCCACTTTTAGGCTACAATACAGGCAAGTATTTGGCTTTAAACATTTGCTCACGATTTGGTTCACAACTGTTCACAAAAAGGTCCTAGCCTCAAACAAGCAATATTACATTTTAAATTCATTTGCCCTTGCATACGGCATAAAACCAATCGTATCGATTAAAGCCAGCCAAACTTTCAGAAACAGGCCTAGCATATGACCAACGAAAAGGGCTGGTTCGGCTCATACCAGATGACTTGATGGTTTTGGCTTCAGTGTCATATCAGGACGCATTAACCCTAGAAGTACCAGAAGCAGCACGGTAGCCTACCAACGTCGATTTTATCGACGGTTGGCACTTCTAGGGTTAAAGCTGAGCTTACCTCATCACCGAAACGAAATTAGTGCTGTACACCTGACGTTAAATCTACACGTACCCTAAAGACGATCTCACCCCTAAAAAGGTAGCGACGGAAGTTATTCCGTTGCGACCACGCATGAAAGACCCGGTCCAATCGACGACGACCGCACGGATCCACGCCTAACTACGTGTTACTCGCTTCGCGTCAAAGAACAGACGAGGAACATGTGCTTTCTGGGAGCAGCCACCTTCCCATGACGTCACCGTTCGAGTCTGCGTGGGAGGATGTAAAATTTTGGCACGACCGAAGAGTCTTCATAGTGAGGAAACAGAATGAGAGAAAAGTGTATTTAAATTTGTTTTTGTTTTACCCCTGTTTCAAACTCACTACGACACACTCATTTCCCATGCTCATAAATCAGCGGCACATTTTGGCTGAGGAGTCATGGGGGCAGGGTAGCAGAGTGGGAGCGCTGAATCCTACCAGAGCGATATCAGGGAGGGGCGACCTCCCATAAAATACGCCACTGCGCTCATTCCCTTTTGGACTTATGACAGTCGAACAGGGCCGGATTAAGGGGATGGGGGGGGGGGGGGGAAAGGGGGCAGTTGCCCCGGGCCCCCGAAGGAAATTAAAAACAGTAAGTTACAAAAAAAAGTATTGTACAGTATTTGCGTAAAGTAGCGGTGGGGGGGTGGGAGCCCCAAGAATCTACTTGCTCCGAGACTCGCAACTTCTTAATTCAGAAACTTCATGTTTCAAATAGGTTCCATTCTTCCATAAACTTATTACATAGGAACAAAAAGGGCATTCTGCGGGGCAGAGCACCGTATGTGGTCGAGCGCGGACAGAAGGCGGCAGGACGCACCCCTCCCCCAATTTGAGTAGCTAGAAGCTAAGGAGAAGGAAGTTGCCAAATATACCCAGCGACGGCCCAGCCCCCCCGAAAGGACGCCAGACCGCCCAATTTAGATGCAAAGGACAGCTGGGGCTCAACCGTGCGACCCAAGGGCAAACCGGGAGCCCTCAGAGTGAAGATTACCGGACGGACACTACACATGAGCAGATCTGCCTAATGAGGGGCGATCGATGTTCAGTGAGTGGAGCGCAGGACCGAGAGAAGGGTTCTAGACGGAATGTATATATCCTCCACGCGAGCCACCTTATCTTCGGCGAGTAAATTCTCAAGCACTCTTTTGTCGATATCTCATAAATGGCTGAAGTTTTTTCTGTAAAACTTTCATCAAAAATGTATCTCGTCGACTTCTCACGAATGATCTATGATTCGCATTCTAAAGCTTGGGTCTTCCTTAATAACAGAATAAAAACCGTAGCGAGACGGTGTGAAGCGAGCTTCGCAGCTCTAGAGCCCTCCGAGGCTCCGCTCGGACCGCGGAGTCCCGCAATGCGGAACCAGAACCTCCACCTGCTCCGACTCATTATGAATCCACTTTATTGAGCTCGGTAATGGAATGGAGTTGGGTGTGGCCGGAAGATGAGTGCATCACGAAGATTCCCATGAATTACATCCCACATTCCCGGCATCGTCCTACATACGAGACCCTACCACGAAAGATTTCGTGATCCCCAACATGAAGTGTGCGGAGCTCCAAGACAACAACCCATCTCAGGTAAGCCTAACTCCCTCATGTAAATCCCTCCAAGATGGCAACCCCGTCCATCCCGCAGGGAGGCTGCCTGGACGTGACGTCCACGATCCCCCCGGACGAAATCGGGGTCCACGGAGCCGCGTTCTCCAACGAGTGGCTGGAGAGCGTCGTCACTGGCAGCTTCAAGGTCTGGCACCTCATCTTCCTCTCCGCCGGGGGCACATTCGCCGTCAGTGAGTCAACTCAACCGTGCTACGCAAGATATAACTAAATTATTGTACTTTTTAGAATATTGTTCTCATTACTGATATACCACGTCGAATCATTCGCCGTCTCTTTAAAATAGCAACATATATTCCAGCTCGAATTCGAGGAACATGCAAAGATGCAACTAAAGTTCCTAAACGGAGTCGAATATGCTCGCCGTGTTCAGTCCAGCCGGAAGGAAGTAACTCGTAACATGTCTCGATTGAGGTCCTTCGCGTCAACAATTAGATCCAAGTTTGTGGAGTTTCTCTTTCGCATGCCAAAACTTCACGGATGGTTCCGGTCGTTTGCAGTCATCTTCCTGTGCTGCGTGTGCAAGATCAGGATCCCCCGGACGAAGCAGGAGATCGAGGCGGACTACATCCGACGGAAGATCGCCGACAAGTTCCGGAAGAAGCTCCGGGAGCTCAGCAATCGGGAGATGGACGATCTGGATCTCAAACAAGGTCTTGAACAATTTTTTCACCGTGTTTCCCTGTCATTTCTTGCTTAAATTTATAAGTACGATATAAATAAATAAGTAAATATAAAAAGTAATAACAGACAACTCCACGCTTGGCAGAAGCCTGAATCTCCTTTCGCCTTCGCTTGCTCGTTCGTTTGATGTCTTTCCGATAAAAGTGGAAAAGTGATTGAAATGAAAACACTGGAAAATAACAAAATAGTGAAAAATTGCAAAGATTAGGGAAATCGCGAGTGCGTAATGGAGGAGGCGGAAGGTACCAAAACAACATGCATTTGCACCGGACGTGGGGAAATTCCGTGAGTCCGTCGAGGAATTTGGAACCATGGGGTGTTGGAATGCGATGTTGCTAATCTTTGTTCGGCGGCGTGGCTTCCAGTAATGGCAATGCAAATTTCGAGTCTGACTTGCAGATTTACGGTCATTCTTGTCCATTAAGAAAAGAGAGAGAACAAGTTAAGAAAAAAATCCCTGCATGCGAAAATCTGTCCACTTTCGCAGATTCGCCTTAATAAAACTTAATGCTCTCGATCGTGAAAGCTAAGCCATATGATGGTTACTTTTCGTTCGCACTCCGACCGGCAAATTCGATTGTGGAAAGCTCTCAGAGCAGCGGCTGCCAGAATATTCGACCGAAATACCACAGAAAAGTCATTCACATGCCTGATGGTGGGCGTGGAAGCGGGAGGAGGGGGGGGGGGGGCAGGCAGTCGCTCCTCTGAATCCGCCTCCGCGCATATCTTTAGAATGGGGTTTTTAAATAATAATTTTTTTTTCAAACGTCTGATAGAAGTCTGAGTCTGGACTGGGGACTGGGCGATGTCGGTGGAGTCGAGACCTTCGCCCACCTCTCGTTAGATGTCTCTCGGGATCAGAGTCTTCCTTCACTATTGCTCGCTCAGAAGGATGAATGCAGGGGGTCCATCTCCATTTTCGCATTGAAACATTTTCCTGGAATTTCAATCCACTAGCGCCTCAGTAGGACGGAGATCGTATCGATGTCGGCGTGAGTCCCAACTGCGTCGATTCCTGGATCGTAATATTCTCGTGACTCCATATAATTTGAAAACGCAAGAAATAGTTGGAGGCGCTCGGAATCACCTCGTTCAGGAGAGAATTGGCACGAAGGACATCGACAGTCAGATCGATCGCGAATTGAAAGCTAGGCGAGGCAGGTACAAATAAATATATTTTTAAGTATTGGCTCGTCCCATTTTCCGTTCATGTCTGATTTTCCATGTGAATTCACATGGATTTTGAAGACGAAGTAGAAAACCCTCAGAAATCAGCAGTGCGAAAACCCCAACGAACAAGAGAACTCAAGGACAGCAAGGATACTTTCCAGCCGATGCTCTGAATTTGTATGGCTTGCTGAATTGTCTGAATTTTTTTTCGCGCAACTCGCGACGCGGTCCAGCAGATCCGCTCTATTTCTCACATATTGCATCAAAATTCACGATTCTCAAATTTCAGTAGATTCAGGGCTTAATTCGGTCTTTCGTTGCCCCTTCCCCCTAAAAAAGCAAATTAGATCGAGTTCATGCCTCAAATGTTAAGATTCTTTAAATGCCTTACTCGCTCTTGTCACTTCTACAAATAGGTGCACCATTCATAAGGGGGGAAAATCAATGCTTGTCACTTCATGAAATTTTATGAAATCACCTTGAGAAAGCCTGAACGAAATGGAAGCGCAGAACAGAACAAGAAAGTTTCCCATGTATCCAGGATGATTCCAGGAGAGGGGCAGCCCGAGGTGGGGGGGGGGGGAGGGATCTACGAAGGCAGACCTCACCCTCCCCCGGAATGCAAGGGAATGGATGGGGTCCAATTCCCAGGGAAAATGCAGTCGAAGAAGATCTTAAGGGCTCGGCTTACCCGAAACGCACATCTCTTATTTTCAATTTGGAGCTTCCTCCAGCAACCCCCCCCCCGCCCCTTCCGGCACATCATTTAGGGGAAGGGCCAAGGGGAGGGGCAATTACCCTCCTTGTGTTGTAATAGCTTCATTGATGCCTTGGAAGGTGGGGTGTCCTACGTCCAGCCCACCCCCAACTTACCTCGATCGATGGCCAGAGGCACTTCTGACTCCCGCAGACTCCCAGACCTCCCACCTCCGAACATATTTTCCTGGCTTCATCGTTGCTTTACTATAGATATTTACGAAACTTGGAACGTGCATAGACGTTTCTAAATGTCATACTATTTAGTCTGCCCAAGTAGGGCCACGAGCGAGTACTCGAGAGAAGTCGGAAACTGAAAATACTATATACGGTGGAATGAAATCCCTTGGGAATATCGAAAGCAAACTCGCGTATCAATAGATTCCAATTGATTAATCTGTTATTGATTGGAAGAAAGGCTTATAAAAACTATCTGCAGCAAACGGCCGACCCAAATAATGAAAACGAGACGCTGGATTTTGCCATAAGCAACTGCAGTGCGAAGGACTTCCCTACATCCAGCCTCGATTGAAGCAACCACTATTGATTGATTGCTCATCGTCTCGTCTCGACACGATGAATTTTAATAAATTCCAGGAGTCTCTCGGGAAGCCCACGAAGCCAGAGACTTAATCGCCACACCCAGCCGGGGGAACCGCGGCGCGACGCTAATGCTCCCCGGCACAGATGGATTAGAGTGCCTCTCCGCCCTTCTAACTCCATTACCCCCTGAAAAATAGATCCCAATGAGAGGTAAACTCTATTTTTCAGTCGTTGGTAGAAGAAAAAAGAAGGAAGGGTCGGCGGAGGAGTTGCGAGTGCGTGTGCCACTTGCCGATTCCCTTTGACGTAAGGTATTTAAATAAAAAAATAAAATCCCATCTTTCTTTGTTGGAGGAAGATGACTTCGTGCATGCGATCCACATTGGTTTTTGTCTGCACCCTTGTCAAGTTACGCAATTTACAGGTGGATCATTCCACCTGTGAATGTTCTCTGTTCGACCACCTCGGGATTCGAAGAAATTTGGCATATTATGGCGAGAGTAGCGAACATCCAAAATCAGGAAACTGATTTAATTTTAAAGTTGATACTTTGAAAGGCTTTCAGCTTTCAGCATTCCAACTTCCCCGCGATATTGACTTCATTGGTACACCCACCAATTGGTAAATAATAAGCAACTTTCCGATTATGAAATGAGAAAATTATGTGGGATTCTAACTATCTCACTTTAAATTGTGGGTTGCGTATATATGCAGATACCCTTCTCCCATAAAAGAAAAAATAAAGGAGTTTTTTTCCATCGCCATAATAAAGAAAAAGTCCAGGAGACACGAGATGTAGTTATATGACTATCCGATGGACTTCTGCTTTCCATCGCGTTGGAGTATGCGAAATGAGAAATGGCATTTTGTGGATTACTCTCTCCTCTCTACCTACGAGGGACTTTTTCTTAGTAGAAGTGGCATATGATGCGAGGCAGACTGGCTTGTGCTGAGCATTTAAATTTGTACTATTTTTCTGGAACTTCAGTCGATCGGGCAAGTGCTTTGAACGTCCACTGGAATTATATTGGGACAGCCTTCGTTTCTGACGCTGAGTACACCTCTGTCGCCTTTATCGCCATTAATCATTATTCTACTCACAAGGTTCTATGGGATTATTCTACGCAAACGGAATTTCATACTTTACATTGGAAATCCCATGAGGAAGTAGACAGAGGCAAAGAAAAAGGAAAGGGGATCGACATAGGGAATACTATCAGAAGAAAGTTAGCATTTCATTAAAGCTAAGCTGATGAAAGGATCCGGCAAATTTTGGAAAAAACAATATTTGCTTTAATTGAGTCTCGTTGACGTTTTGAAAGTGGCTTGAGGAAAGAATTCAAGCGAACGTGACCTAGCAAAGCAAGCCAGGTCATCATGCAGGCATCGCCGGTCTTTCACAGCAAGTCCTCCCGAGGGGAAGCCGGTCAAACGAATTGCAAGATGCGAAGACTTCCCTCTGTTGTATCGATACTTTCAATCCCCTCCCTCACCTTGCAGCCTTGGAACGGGTCCGAGCAGAGTTCATAAGCGACGCGGAGAGCGTGAGTGCGTCGGATTTGGCCAACGGATCCCCGGCCGCCTCCACCTACACCAAAGGTTCTCAATTGAATCTCGGTATGTCGCATCCTCGTTCCCCCGAGATCCGAGCAGCCTCAGACTGACCTTACCGATCCCGAAAGGTCTGACCCTGGAGGACTTCACGGTGGAGAAGGTGCGGCGACTGAAGCGGCGGAGGCTGCAGCCCCACCGAGTGTGAACGCCATCCCGGAGTTGCCTCTCGTCTCCATTCTCTATCCGCTTACTTGTTGCATCTGTACTTTCACCTGTCAATTTGTATGATTAACGTGTTCCTTGGAAGCCTCGCTTCTTCTAGGGTAATGGAAAAACATTTGCACGATAGGATATCCATCCGGCATCCCCAGTTAACGCCCCCTTGTTTGTTTTATTGCATATAATACTAGTACGTCGAACGACCGATTTCGGCTTCGGGCATTATTAGATGTTTTCATCGGAAGAAAAAAAAATTCATATAAACGACCAATGAGGTCAGTTACCATAAAATATGATGCATGAGAAAGAATTCCGGAATTGAAAGAATCGAGGAGCGAAATTTCACTTCTATCACCGAGTTTCCCAGATACATAGTCCGACCGCATTCGAATTCTTTTTCTCAAGGAGATCAAGAAGCCTTTCAAAAGACTTGCCCAACTAAATGGGACTTGAATCTTGAATCAGGACTCCTCCTTCAAATACTGCAAGGCACGAACAATGACCTTTGAAATTCCGTCTCGACTCATGTCGAATGCAAAATAATGAGTAAAATAATAAGCCGGTGATAGTCGCGCAAACGCATCAGCTAACCATTTACGCAGTGCTTGTATCTCCCAGCAGGCGAAAATGTAATAAGCAGTAATAGCCTTGATAGTGGGGTGCTCTTCATAAAGAAAGCCAATTATTTGGCAGTATCTTCCTCGCTCCAAGTCTCACACCCCTTGGGAGAAATACACGAAGTAGCTATAACAGCAAAGCCATGGAGTTAATCTCCAATATTAATATGTAGTTGGGATAGAATGACATTTAGGAAGAATGACATCATCTGACTCACTCATGAAACATTAGTGTGGATGATCGCCAGGGTGAATGACAATGTACTCTGCATGCATGGACTGAATAATGAATGACTAATCAGTTCACAGTCATTTCTTTTCTCAATCAATAAAAGGGAGCCAAAGGAGCAAACTTTGAAATTTTTTATTAACAAGAATTCATATAACCATGAAAAAATCACGTCATCATCATGGAATCGCTTTTCTGTTGTATGAGCCAGGAAAAAATGGCTTCTAAGACAATTTGGGGACTCAATTCAAGATCAAGGGAGCCTCATCCCTTAATACTGGAGGGGGTTTCGAAGACTACCAATTCCCAATGCCTTGACACTACTAGACAGCATTCCAATTGCTTCCCTTCTCCATCATAAAATTAAGAGCAACAAAAATATCTGGAATTTTCAAGCAAAAAAATCCTGAACTCAACCACCGGATTAATTCAAACTTTGTCAATATAGTACTTTGAAGGAACTAATGATAAATACTCACCTCTGATAAATATTCAAGACTAGGAGAAACAAGCAGAAAGAAAGGGGGGATACAGACTAGAAACAAGAATAAACTAGTGGAACAGAACACCACAGGTCAACAGGGTCACACTAAGGCCCAACAGCTCTGGAGTCATTCCCCCATACAGGACAGAATGGCAGAGTTGACAAGCAAAAAAAAAGAAAAAATAGTTGGGTCAACTCCAAGGCAGGATTCATGAGGCTTCCCTAAGCTTTTGATTTGCTTGTCCTTGCAGGATGACATCATGAATGAAACCCTTCCCTTTTGCTGACAGTGACCATGGTAGAAATCAGAAATTGCACTTAGGAGAAGAAACACAAGATTCAGATTGCAATTCAATAGCTTCCCTTGCACTGAGGATGACCAAATAAAAAATCAAGAATTGCACTTTGGCGAAGAAACATCAGATTCAGATTGCAATTGTCAACGGCTTCAGTGACTATTCCCCAAGTTTTTGCAATAAAATTTTTTCATATTTCACATTTTCAAGACTGAGACACAAAAGTTGTGCCATGCCATTTTGAACCGACATTTTCTGATATTCCCTGGACATGAAGAGTAGCCTGCTCTCGTGTCAGATGAACAGCACCAGACCAGTCTTTTGAGCTTATGTGATTCCCAAATGCTAATTTCATGCACAAAGGAACCAGATGAACTTAGGAAATGATGCCAATACCTTTTTAAGTGTACAAGAAAAATGAATTAGCTAACTGCAAGAGGAAATGCTGCTGTTTCAAGGAGAGATCTAAGAGCAGATGCACATCATGTTCCTTTGGGCATGAAATGCAACATACCATGCACACACAACAGGGAAGAGCTGCCTGCAAATTGAAAGCCATATTGCTCAGATAATTGGAAGACCTACGCTAGAGCAATGAGACAAGGAAAGGAAGGAAAGGCATATTTCCAGGTTCAGATCCTGCATGGGAATGGCTTATGCAAGAAGACTTTTCCAAGCAAGCTCAATCAGCCATGCAGGAAGTTATTTTTTTTCAGGAAGAGGGAAGCTCAGCATTCAGCATCATGATTTAGGGATTCAGGGTCCAAAACCCTTTAGCATGCAGGGAAGGGGATTACAAGAGTCAAGGCAAAAGTTACATGCCGATTATGAGGGATCTGAGAGAGGGACTTTTGTTATTCTCACTGCAGGAGTTCAGCAACTCAAGCAAACTTGTGGCAGTGAGTTGATCAATAAAATTTAACAGTGGACAGGGTGAGATTCAAGATTCACGAATGTGAGCAAAAAATTCTTCCTTCCTTGCACCTCCTACAAACAACCAAATCACTGATAGAAAAATTTATCACTTCTTTCTTTCATCAATAGAAACAATGCCTTGGAAGGATAAATGAATGGATATCAGTTTTGCAAGGATGTCAACTGTGACAAATGATGGCATGAGGGTGAAGATAAAATGAAGAGCATCCCAAAAAATCTCCCAAGACATGCTTGTCCCATGCATAAGTGCACTGGAGGAGTAAGGGGGGAAAAAAGATCAAAGGGAAAAATTTGTCCCTGGCAGTAATTGCAGCGACGACACCCGTCAAGTCGAGACGAGTAGGTTGTCACAATTGTGTTGTTTTCTTTTTTGTCCCATCACAAGAAATATGGCAAACAATGGGGGAAATTTTGGAGGCTAGGCGTGTGCGGGGGCTAACTAGAGGGACCAGGGCTGTTGTTGGTGGTGTTTGGACTTCGTCCACCGGCACTTCCAGGGTTTTGAGCAACACCCGATCCCGAAGCCCCAGGTGAATCTTTCAAGCACCCACTCAATGTCACAACCACTTTTCGGGACCCGGCTCGGTTTCGATGTTCACACAGCCAGATCCCCTGCCAGGTCCCAACGTTCAATCGTCCATCTGTGATGGGAACCGTCAAGGAGGATCCCAGGAAGCACGCCTTCACATGGGCAGGCTGCAACATCGAATGATGTTTCATAATGACATATTTGCTGAGGCTGACATCCCATTTATAAGTGAACCAGGTCAGAAGGAACTAGGATGGCAGGATAAGCATGAGACTTACCATATCATCAGGTCCCTCACAGGAATGCTGATAGCTCATTCCCTGGAAAGAGAAAATAATAATACGATGTGAAGTGAGAATACAATAGCAAATTAAGACAATAGAAGGGAGGGATAAGGGAGTCACTCAACTTAAAACAATTTAAATTCAACACAAATTGCTGCCAGAAACCATAATTTTCAGAAGAATATATTGTATAATGCTCCATCTCAGTCATACCATTATATGGAATTCTAAAACTTCTCTTTGCTTACATCAGGTCTCAAAATTGATGATGTCCAGATTATCATTTTGTAATACCTCTAAATATACATCAAAATGATGATGCCTGATTCTGACCAGACATTCTCAACTCACAGAAGCTCAGACCATACGCACTACTTCATATATTTTAATACATGCAAGAGGATAAAAATTGGCACTTACTTCTGGAACAATCTTATTAAGCATCATCTCCATATCCACCCTAGAAGAAACCATTTATTAGTGTCATGGAATTATACCTCAAAGGGGGGAGGGGTGGAAAAGAGAAATTAAAAATCTGAAAGAAAGGGTAAGTCCTGATGAGCTTTGATGGAATCTTAGGCCCATTTGTATGATCCTGAAATAAAAGTTTTACTTTTGCAAACATCAGAATGCTAAATTAAAGAACATGGCTATAGTAAGATCAATGGACTATGAAACTCATTCATATATCATTGGCCTTAAACAATAACTTTATATCTCAGAATTAGGGAGGGGAACTAAGTCACTCATACCACACTGGATAATAACATATTTTCCTTTCAGCCTTGAGTCTCATTGTTCACTCACATACTGAAAGCATGATACTGTAGAAGCTATCATCATACTAACTACAGATTGACAAATATAAATAGGCCGATATGGATATATCAACAAGTATTCACATTGGCTCTTTCAAAACTTGATTTTTGTTGATACCAGAAGTAGAGTTCTGTTTGATCTTTACAGTATAAGAAAATATGACAAGGACTATCTTCTCTGTGCCCATATGGAAACTCTAAGACATGTGATACAGTCAATATGGCATAATGTGAGAGCTATGATCCTGGTCTGGCACATGGAGACAGACCTACACTCTAAGGCTTAGATTTGGCCTCTGCTTTGCTGCTTAACTTTGTTCTGAGTTCCAGGAGAATCTGAAATAAAATCAAGCTGTTCTGTTGAATCTTCAACATAGTTTTGTTTATGGTGGAATACTGGCCAATATTGTATTGACTATTGGCTTCATATATTGGTCAATACTGGAATTGTTAAAATCAATATCAGTCGATCTCCAATACTAACAACACTAAAGAATTGTGTATAAGACCAAAAATACATCATAATCACCAAGATAAAGACAATCTCACAAAAATACCAATACTTTATACTTTTTCAATTTTTTCCCCAATAGCTCACAACACCAAAGTCTACCAAGTTAAATAAATACTTGGACTAAGGATCAGATTTGATCTGCATTATATTCTACCTATGTTGACTGACTTGGGTCAAAGTTAAAGAAACTCCAGAATGACAAGATGGTAAATTTTCTACTTGTGAGGGGGACTTTCAAGTGAAAAAAGTAACATACCGAACATCTGGGTCCCAGTTCTCATTCAGTGCAAGGCTTGCTGATGTATGAAGAACTGCAAGAAGATACAGAACATACAAGAAATTCAAAAACTAATTCGATTCTTGATTGTGTGCAGCATCCATATTAAATTCAAATTTAGCAGTTAAAATGGTGGCCACTAAAATAGGCCTATACATTAAAAGTAATTAGGCCTAAATGAAAAAACTTCAAAGCCAGGCTTTAAGAGTACTTAAAACAACATGAATATATTTTGAAAGAAAGCTATGAAACACATAAAAGAGATATCATTTCCATGTAAATATGAAAGAGGGTCTCGCTTTTCTCCTCACATTTCTGCACATCACCCTAAAGTACTATTTTTTTCAGCAGCCTAAAATGTTTACATATTTTGAAACATGGACTAGAGTTTATAAAATTGCAAGCTCTTGATAGGAAAGATTTAAGGTGAGTCTACGGATCATGGTAAGGTAATATTCCTGAAATTTTTCAGGCTTCCTGTCATAGCCAGGTTTGAAATAGGACTTAAATTTTCATGAAATAAGATTAAATGAAAATTTCATAAACATTTTTCATATCAGAATGAGACAAAATGTGGTTGTTCTGCTGTTTTCTGGTAGAAATAAAAAAAAATTATGCCTGGCTTCTTCAGTCTGCAGGGTTGACATTAGCTCTTTGTACATCCAAGGCAAGTGGAAGATAAGGTGCCCACCCTCCTACCACCTCCACCCAAATCTTACTCTAATTAAGTAGGATTAGCCACAAAGCTTTCTGAGCAAAGGGGTTATAGGAGTAAGTGCCCCTATTCTTAACACTGGTCTGTTAGACTGGCCTTTCATGGCAATCCACAGAACATCTATATTCTTCAAGAAATAAACTCAATTTTCAGAAAATGCATTAAGAACATAGTTTTTGCCATGATTTTATTTACTGGGAACACAATAGCCGAACAGCTTGCAAAAATGTTAGAGAGTGCAAGAGGAACTGGAGGGAGTTTTCCTTGGATTAGAGTTCAAAAGCCAAAGAGTAGAGTCCACTTTCATGGGCTACTGTATGTCTTGTGAACCTGTACACCCTGAGTTCATTATGTGAACATCCACTATAAGCCAATGTGTACATCATGTATAAGGCTGTGTGTACACCTACTGAAGGCTGTGTACAATAACGCTCATTATCTCTACGATCACTATAAAAAGTGAACTGAAATTGTGAAACTCCCCAAAAAGGGCTTTTCAGAAGTGCCAAGCCTACTATATAGTATGGGTCGAGAGTATTCTAGACCTGAATAACTATGTCAGGAATGGATATCATGACTCACACTGTTCTAATAAGTGCTTCCTGGAACCTCCCCTAGTTTCTATTTTTCTCAAATATGTCTGCTAAATACAGGTTCGCAATCTTTGCAGATGAAGACATGGGACACTTAGATAAACCCAACACAAGGCCTACCGTTAAGCTTAACACTTGGGACAAGTTTCCAGCAATCATTATGGAGAATTGCAGGTAGGACTACACCGTGATTTTGCTCTCTGAAATCACAACTTTAGTTTTCCATACAGCAAAAAACTCATGCCCTTTAATATACGTATTCCCCTGAGGCCACAAGAGCTCACGTTAATCACTTGACCAGGCCAGAGTTTCGTAAATGGGCATAAGATTAAGCTAACATTAGGCCTCGAGTTCACCAGAATTGAAGACTTACTTTGAATATGCATAAGACCCATGGAGAACATGGCCAGCTCGGGGAGTTGTCGGAGGATTTCTTCCGTGACTAGGTGGATACCACGGTGCTGCGGTCTGAGATGTATTTTTCTTTGAAACCATGCCGATCCGAATTGAATCCCTTTCGAGCTACTGGAGGACGCCATATTTCTGATGTATTGACATCCGGGCATCCTCGACTGCTGGCTCCCCGAGTTCCAGGCCCAGAGGGTCCCAATGACCCCCAACGCTCCAGCCGAGGTCAAAGGCAGCACAACTTTCGCGAATCTCATTCCAATTTCGATTGAGCTCGCCGGTAACACTAAAAAAAAAACAACTCTGAACTAGATCCGGTTCTCGCTTTCGTTCCTGATGGTGAAGAATATTACGGCTCTTCAAGAACCACATTGGAATGGGATCTGGGAAAAGGGACTTTCTTAATTGCCGTTTTCCTACGCAGTTATAACATTTTAAAGCATTCTTGGCAAACCAAAATTCTAACGAATATGGTGTCAACGTTTCGTAGCTGTGTGAATCCCAGCAGTCAAGTAGCAATTGAGTTCGTTCTCCAGAGCTACTCACTTCACTCGTATTTCAAATTATTCCCTTATTTCATACGTGGAGTCTGGTCTCCGCCTTGCGAAGGCGAAAGGGGCGCCAGCAGAGCAGAGATCCCTATGGGTCGCTTAAGGCCCAGGACTCAGGAAGTAAAAGTTTAACATAACATGCATGGTTGTTTTCCCACCTGTATTCATCGAAAACCTTCCTTGTGGGTCGCTCGGTCAAAAAGGTTGGGTACCACTGCTCCATGGAATAGTCAGACTACGTCGATTAAGAGTTAGAAAGAGATAAACGAGAGGTACGTCCAGTTTGACATTGCCAGAGGCATCACAATCTGATTGGTTAGAAACGCTGCCAGCCCCTCCTCGGACCAATAGGAAACCTCTTCTGGGAAAACAAAGGCAGGCATCTTCCCAACCTCCACTGCCTGTTTTCTGCAGTCGCCTTGGGACCTTCGTGGGGGAACCATCGTGCTCGTCCGAGCCAACTTTTCTCTGCGGGTTCTGATAAGCAAAACTTTCTCATTGAGAAAGTTTGAGAAGCTTTGGTCGCAGAATTTTTAATCTTATGGAAGACATCGTTACAAGTTTTCTTCAAATATGTATCCTTTCGTGCAGTAAAAGTTTCTGGTGCAGACGAGACCCGAGAGAAAAATAAGAAAAAGAAGTTTCGAAGAGTCTCGAAAGATCGGAATGAATGAATCGTTAGAATCACCCGATAACTCGGAAGGCATCCTTATCCGAAAAACTGCCGGGTAGAAATTTTGCCTGGATCGAGGCAAAGGAATCGAACGAGCCACCCTGAGAGTTGCACAGTCCGGACCAGGTCTCCCCGTGAAAGGAAGCCAGGGTCCCGGGGAATTCTTTTTTTTTTTATTACATCGGATTTCCCCATTTTGGGCACTCTTCCAGTTCTTCTGGATCGCAAATAGACCCGTCGCCATCGAAGGGAGCAAATTCGTTTTCATTCCAGAACCACCTCTACATACTGGAATATCTCATCTCTCCACCTCCGAGTGGTTCACAAAACAGAATTAGATGGCATAAAACGACTCGACACACTTCCAGGCCTCACGGATGCGCGAGAATTAAAGGGGGACCAGTCGAAGGCTCATCACGAGGCCCATTTTGCGGTTATTCTGTAACTTCTTTACAGCAAGTGTATCTTTTTTTTTCCAGAAAGGATCAACGAACATTTGGCCGTTCATGCATCTTTCACGATGAAGGAAAAAACGAAGAGGACACCTCTGTCAGGAGATGCGCGGTAACGAAGACCGCTGTCCTCAATGTCCACACACTCTCAAATCAAAGCATAAAAAATACACATATAGGAATAAAAGTCAAATCGAGTCGTGTTCAGACTTCAAAGAGCCAAACGAATTCGTACAGTGCAAGACCAGACAGCGTGATCACAGTGCCGAGCAAAAGTGAGATCAAAAATCACCACGGACGGACTAGAAAACACAAAGCGCAGGAACTCATATGGCAGTCCCACCCGACCTGGCTCCCCCCACCGCCGCCACATACCCCAACTTCCTCAGATCCTTCGTCACCACGTTGAAGCCGACCACGACGTACCCCTGCGTCCTCACCCTCGTCGCATCCCTCCCGTCTCCACTCGCCACAACCCGACTGTCGATGTACTCCGGCCTCCTCCCCGTGAGCCACCCCGACAGCCCGTCCAAGACCGACGCCGAGGTCGGGACGAACATCGCCACCCGCCTCCTGTGCGGGCCCGGACTCAGCGGTACCACGCACGAACCGTACCCGCGGGCCACGTCCCGCCCGAGGAAGTCCAGCCCGTACACGCTCACCACCAGCCGCGGCCACCCGAACGGATTCGTGCTCTTCAGCGTCACCTCCAACGGGAAATTCCAGGTGAAGGGCGGCGACCCGCCCTCGCCGAATCCCCGCTTCGTCACCTGGGAGATCCCCTCTCCCAGCCCGTTCGTGACGACCCAGTCCTGCCCGTACACGTACTGGTACCTGCAGTACAGATCGTCCATGCCCGGGAAATCCCCGCTCTCGATCTGACCCGTGACCGACAGGAGGAACACCGAGTCTTGGGCCTGGCTTTGGGGCAGGTCCCCCATCTGAGTTCAACGAGGTCGGCGCGTCAGTGCACTTCGACGATGCAAACATGTCGAGAAAATTCCACGATGATGAAGAATATCGCAAGCAAAAACTTTCAATGGGACGCAGGCCGAGCAGCCAGCTTTGCAACACTGTGCAAAACTTCCCAGCATGGAAAATCGAGCAGTAAAACTTCAAAGAAAATTCTCCCAAAATATTCCTCGGAAAAAGTTATCTAATATTGAGCAAATGCTGGAGATGAATGGAAGGCTAAGAAACGTACGGAATCGATAAATTCATGTTTATTTTTTTGTCTGCTCATGCAAACAAGTAGGGAAAGTCTCACCGCCCGTATATAAAAAAAAAGCAAAATCTTCCCGATACAACTTCCCTCGGAGCAGATCGTTACACTGAATACGACGAATGAAAGTAGACACATAAGTTCTCATACGGTGACGAGTATCACACGAGGACCGATGAACGAACTCAGACACGGCGCGACGGGACCCCGCGACCCCGACGAAACGACACTCGAAAAGAGAAAAACGAACGCTTTCAATCCAGCTCGATGATCTCGGGCGAGCACGGGTTGCTCTCGTTCTCCGAGGAGTCGTCGAGGACCACCCGCCTCCGGAAGGTGGAGGTGGGCCCGCTGATCACGATGGGCGACGACGCCCCGCTGGACGAGCTCCTGTCCTCCTTCTCCTCCGCTTCCACCTTTGTACTCGACGTCGCTGCCGCCTCCTCCCTCTCGTCGTCGTCGCTGTCGCTCACGAGGTCCACCACCTCCACGGAGTCTCCCTTCCCGGACTTCCCGCTTCCTACAGACACCTTCGCCGCTGCACTCCGACATCCACACACCCACAAGACAGAGCGAAAACGACGGTCTTACCCGAGCTGGAGCCGGACGATCGAGACGGAGCGTCGTCCGGCGGAGGGCCTTTCACCGCCTCGTTCAAGTACGACGGCAACGTCGGGATGTCGTACGTCGTCCGGATCATGGGCTCGATCACATTCTTCTTGCTACCGTTGGGAAGACTCCACGAAGCATCTGGATTCAGCACCACATCATCACTATCACCCGCTTGGGACAGCACCTGTAGGAAATACCTAGAGGAAACGCAGAAAACGAAAGAAATCGATTAGACCGACTATTTCTCTCCTGGGGAAGAAGGGACACACTACATTTGAGTCGAATCTGTTGAGAGCAAAAACAACCAATAAACGTGACGAGCGGCATAGGATGGAAATAATAAAGACCTCATTCATCTCATGCATAGCACCGTCCGCACTGTGGAGGTTCAATATTTTTCGGTCAATTGCAATTAAGAGGTCCCATTAATGATTTTCTTAAATTTACGATTTAAATCATATTCCACCTTCTCTAAGACATAAACCTGGATTCCAAAGATACCGTACCACACACAAGTACTGAAGACTTTGTCTATTTCACAAGGATGCATTCATGTCATGAGATCACCCTTTCTGACATAGGGCTAAGCGAAAAGGTTTTCCCTCCACATATTGCCGAGCAAGGTCCTAGACCCCGAAAGATTCTTACTACGAAATCATCCAAATTTATCGCAGACATTCTGGGCAACGGCCTCAGATAGCTTTGGAAGCAAAAGAAAAGACGCCCGAAGGAAAATTACAAAAAAAGGCCAAGGAAAAATGTGACCGTGCAACTCGCATCAATAACGAGTCACAGACTCGAGGGTATGGAAAAGTTCACCCAGTTCCAGAAACATGAAGGAATCGAACTCACCCATCGATGATGAGCTTATCAAAAGGTGTGACCTTCTTGCAGAGAGGACACACCCACGTAGGATTGAGATCATTCATCTCCAGATATGTCAGAGCATCGAAACACTGCACGTGAGTGCACAGGTCTTTCGCCCGGCACGGATACTGCAAACGGCGAAGATTCAGGGGACAGTTCAAGCTGGCCGGCAGGGAAGTCATGTCCAGGCAGACGTCGCTCGAGGAGTCGCGTCGGAGCTTCTGCTTGACTGGAACGGATCGGCAGAAAGTTAAGCCAAAGACCTCGTGAAAAAAAAAACCTGACTACGAAAGACGTGCTTACTCAGATTGATCGTGATCAACGGGTCACTGATCCCATGGCTCCAAATCTGCGAGAACAACTCAGCCGGAGTGAGCCGTCGCACCAGATTGATCTGAAAGGCATACGTGGCATTGGTCTCGTTGCGCCAGCACACGGTCCCACTGTTAGACACCTCCGGGCTGAGACGGCAGAGAGCAGTGATGTTGAGGGGGCAAGAGGGCCGCTTGGGCGTCATCCCAGGACGAGTTCCAGCTTTGTAAGCCTGCAACCGACAACATCGAATCAAACCTCTCAAGAGCAAGGACTCCAGCATCGTTGGATCTTATTTCTGGCACCCAATCCGAATTAAATCCTGGGTCCGAGCACTGAACCAGATCGACGGCGAAGTTTCTACATTTTCTTTGGGCTGACTCAACCCAAATTATGTTTCAAGTCATTACGTGTCCAGAATTTAAGTTAAATCACAATTAATCCAGTGAAGAGCGCCAACTTTTATTCCCAGCTGTTCCCAAGTGAAAAGTAAGTTTTACCTGTGACTCAGTTCAGTAACTGCTTTTGCCATGGGGACCATGTAAATAAAATCCATCATCTATACCCCTCCTTTTCATAACATTTTCCATACGTTTAATTAGGAATATTCTAGCATGTATGCTGCTTCTTAACTTCATGTTAACTTAGTTAACATGAAGAAGAATAAACGAAAGATGAAAATATTTCATTCTTCTTTACCAGGAGCCTTCTTTACCTTTTCAATGAAGAATAGCAAATGCCAAAAAATTTTATCTTAGGTTGGTACTCAAAGCAGGCTTGGGAGTCATCACTTTACAAGTGCAAGATGTGGTAGGAAAAACTCACAGGGAGAGAGACTTCTGATCCATTGATTTGAACTCGAAGCTCTGGAGGGAAGCAATCGGGTAACCCAGACCAGTTTTCAACCTTGCAGAATCTGAGTTGCACCTGGAAAAAAATTATTAATGTAGTGCTGGAGATAACAAGTGCCACATTCATTCACCTAGTACATATTTAATTTCACTGTTAATTTTTTGAGAATTCATTTGTGTTGGCTCATTCAAATGAAGATATAAGTGACTGCTTTGGGGAAAAAAACCCAGCGAATGTAAATAAACTCAGTCAAATTTGAAGTTTCAGGCCTGTTTTCCCATATTCTACCAATTGAAGTGAAGCTTGAACCTCAACCAATCCAAGTTAATCTTGAATCTCAAGCTATAGATTCCTCTTGTGTGGAAAAATAGTTCTGTTATGAGAATCAGACACCAGTACTGAAGTATGAATTTGAGCTTCATTTAACGAAATATTGGATATTGACTAAATAGCACTCTACTGCAACCTTACAGAAAATGCAACAAATTGATACTTGTGCAATCCTAATGCACATTGGTGACTTGTGAGAGGTGGGGATCAGCTTACACCCTATCCACAGCAGAGATGGAGATGAGAGCACTCTACTCCACCCACTTTTGGAGTCATGCATCATGATACATTAAGCCCTGTCTGTAATATCAATGAAGAGATTGAACTTCTGACATTGTCCATAGTGTCTGGTGGCACAATAATAGAAAAATTTCTTCCTCTACTTCATCTAGGTGAAAGAAAGAAGCATGGTTTTATAGTTTGGATACATGGTATGTCTGCTGAACAGTTTCAGGAGCTTTCAGAGTAATGTTTTTGGTGATATCCCAACCAAAATTAAGAGAGAAAAACATTTGCACACATAGTGGATGGTCAAATAACAAATGTGACCAGCAGAACGACTGCCTGCACTTCACCAGTACCTCCCCTAGGATCCATCACTTCTTTTCCCTATAAACAGGAAACTTTTCCATTCCTGTGTGTCCCGGAGTCACTCCCCAGGGGTCTAACCTCATGCTAACATTTACAAAAAAACATGAATTTTCATAATATATCCATCAGCAATACGTATAAAACATGAGAACACCATTCCTTTTAACCAAACCCTTCAATGTCATCTGATAAGGTAATCTGAGAACACCTATTCTTGAAATTGGTAGGGGCTTATTATATTCAGACTTTCCAAAACTAGATGTCTCAGACAACTTGCTAAACAAGGCAATTGCTTGAACCTCCAAGATCTGCTGAGAAGAGGCTGTGTGATACAAACAAAAAAGTTCCATTTGACTGGTCTTGATCTCACCTACTCCCCAGCACTTGAAGTATTGCCACCACAGGTGCAGTTGCTGGACACTACAGTACAGTGACATCTTTTAAGACCTCATGTCTATCAGGCATCCATCCAACCTCCATGGTGCCCTGTTATCCCAATCACTCACAAACATCAGCTTTCCCCAGTGAAGACTGAAGGTTCATTGATTAAAATATTCCAGGCACCTTGACTTCATGGATCAGCTCTGTCTCTGATTTTGTCTCTACTGTCACCAGCCATAGAATTGATTCATAGAACCATTCATAGAATGGCTCCATCTCCACAAGTTCAACACTCTGATTAATTGGGTGAAATACTATACCCCGCTTTCACACTTTGTGAAGCATGACAATGTGTTAGAGGAGTTGACAGCAGGCCTCATCTCCAGTTCTGCTGTGGATCAGGATGTTTGCAGCCAACCCTGATTCCTGTCTATATCTGCTAGCTTCAGAGAAGGCATGCATCAGGGGCTTTACTTGCCAGATCAATCATAGATGTTTATAATCCTCCTCAAGTCACACCAGACTATTTCTTGATGCCCTCGATGAAGACTTTGTCAAAATAAAGCAAATTAAAAAAAAAACTTTTTTTTTTTCCCATAAGGTTTTCAAGAGACTCAGAAAAAAGTATGTAAGAATGTCAGCACAAATAGAATGCATTATTTTCAAGTGTACATCTAGGTGCAAAAAAGCCATACTCCCTCTGAATAATTTCACTCAATAGCAAACCATTATATACAAATTGATGTATCCTAGTGTATGATGGCAGTGATAGTTATGTGTAGCTCCCACACAATTATTCCTAAATAACTTGAGCAATTTCAAGATGCAAGAGTCTTTTTGGCTCTGTTAACCATCCCATATGACAAGAGGGCAAGGTTTTTGAATAGATAATCACAATGATGCATGACATACCTGTATGAGATAGATGAGTTCCTTAGAACGGCGAGGATTGTAGTTGTTCTTGATGGAGTTCACCTCATTGGGACTGAGGCAAAATTGAATGAACTGTTGTTGTGACTTTGAGTATGGGGTGGTAACTAGAAGCAGAAAAAATTACAAGAGAAATAAAAGGAATGTCTCCTAATTTCTTTGCATATCTCATCATGAATAGAATCATTGCTCATTCTATAAAAGACAAAGGATCCTGACTCAAGGTGGTTGGTTTCACAATCTCCTCAAGCTTTTGGAAGAAATGCAGTGTTTTCATATCAATGTCTGGGCGCCTGACCATTCCAGATGGGTCTATCTGTGGCAGGGTATTATAACTCGGGTGAGATTCCATCCTTGGGTCAGGGGTTGAACTGGTGCTAGGATGTAGTGGTGCCCATGGAGCCCCTCCAACACCCTACAAAAACAAGGATCTTGCACAAACATCTCATACACTGAATACATCTGAATAATAAAAAAAAGGCTATTTCTTCAGCTGACTGACCATGAAGGGGTCCATGAACGATGAAGGCTGGGAAGTGTGATAGCCTATTCCAGAGGTGTATTGTTGGGGGTCCAGTCTATAAGAAGTACAAAGAGCCAAATATCAATACACTTGACAATATTAGAGTCCCATTGACTTTAGACATCAAGTTGAGTCAATCTTTCATGATTTATTAGTATTATCCTATTGGAATAAAGCAAATCCCAGAGCATCTTCCAATTATCTCAATGCCAAATGTCAAAATATATGAGACTGAGCATAGTACAGTTACTAAAACAGCTATGTCAAGAAAAAAAATTGGTTACCCCAAGATGAAACAGACATGTTAGGCCTCATGATAGTGAATTACAATAAATGCTGAAGTCAGCGTTAAGTAGCTCACATCCAAATTCACTTAATCACATTAGAATATTTCACTTATCAGAAATGATATGAGAGCTAATATTAGGTGGCATGGTGGAAAGTGCAGTGCTGACAGTTAGCATTATGGTGAATCCCAGGGGTGTTCAAAGTATGACCTGTAGGCTGGATCTATCACATCACATTTCACACCCAAGAAAATGATATGCATGTAGGATTGTACCCTTTTCTTTAAAGTGCCTCTTTTACTGTGCTTCTCATTTATAATTTAAAAAAAGTCTAACAAAGTATTTTTTGGCTTTTGGCTATCTGGCTTGCACCATTCTTTTCACATCTTATGTGGCCTGTGACTCCAAAACTTTGGACACCTCTGGTGTATCCTAGTAAGAATAGCAGCATGCACAAGAAGCAAGAAATCACTAAATTTGGAAAGCTTGTTTTCCCACTATCATTGGCACTCAGATGAGAGGAATCAAACTGGAACGGAACCAAAAAAATTATAAAAAATGAATTACATTTTCTTAAGCCAAAACCAACTCCAACCAAATCCAACTCAGATATCATGCAACCTTTTTGAACCAAAACCAGAAATGAAGTGGGGAAGATTTGATTATGGTTCCATTGCCACTCATGAATATTTATGATCAGAGTCCCAGCTATTCAAGTCAGAGTGAAATCCCTCTTTCCTTGTCTCAAATTCATCTCTCTCTCCAAGGAGCCAGAGTACGTAACTCTTCCAAGAGGGGTGGGATGACTTCTTTGACACCATTCTTTGAGAGTGAATGGGCTCTTCATAAATCAGAATTTAAATGAAAAAATAATACTGGCAAAACACTACAAGCAATTCTTGGCATCAATAAAGTAAAGATATAAATAAGATCATTGAAAAAAATCAAAACAAAGCTATTTTGCTGACTTTGGCAGACAGGACCATACATGACATGGAAGAAATATTGAAGTGGTGAACATGAAAGGGAATTACACCAATTACACATAATCATACCATATTGCTGCTTACATGCATATCACTTGGGCATGACAGGATCAAATGTTCTCTTTTCATGCAACAGAAATGCAACACCACTTAAAATCTATAATGAATTGACTGCAAAGGGTTTGATAACATGGCTATTGATTTTGTTACAGTGCATGATGCATTCCAAAAGAGAAGGGATTAGTTTTGTACTGCTTTTGATCACATTTTACTGGCCTTCCTCCAAAGAGGATACAAGACTATTTCCAATTGTGTTCTGTCATTTTGTCTGTGTCCATCATTAATGTCTTCATTGTCCAATTAAAACTCAAAAAAAAAATTTACAACTAAACTGGATATACAGGGGTGTGGTTTTCCTTGACAAAATTAAGACCACATACTTTCTATCGAAAAATTGAAACGTGCTGACTCAATAATATGCTTATAAGGAGTAGCCAAGGAAATAGGCAGGCGGTTGGAAGTCTTGATCCATTCACACATCACCCCATGTTTCACACAACTGCCACCATCCTCTGTATGACTTTTCATAATTCACTTTGAATGAGGCCACTCTAGAACTCAGAATGCCCAACTTGATTTTTATTTTTAAAGGGAATGGCTACCTGATTGTCCATTCCTTGGATCTCCCCAACCACCAACTGGTTCAAAGCATATCTTTGTTATGCAAATAGGTAGTGGGTTGTTAGCGACCTGAAATGAGTTTCAAGCAGTTAGGAAGCTCAATGGTTTGGTGCTATATAGATAAAAAAAAAAGGGTCCCCACAGGAGCTGGGCTCTGAAAATGACACACAGTGAGGGGGGAATGTTACCTAGTTAATAATCATCTTTTGGTGAGCCACATCTGTTATCTGTGCTTCCATTGAGAGAAATTTTGCAGTTGCAGGAGACTTGTGAAAGCGAGAAGGCATAAGAAAATATTCACCACCGCTAATATGTACGTCCAATATATACTCTGGGTATATATTCCTTTCAGGTGATTACATATCTGCAACATGCTGTTACAGTCAAGTGGATAGATTCTTGGTATGACTTGCTCCAAGTTGCAGGTTCCATTTGCAACTCTGGAGTGACTCTTTTTCTAGTAAGGGCTTGCATGTTAGGGGGTGCAAAGTTGGAGAGGAACAGAGTGTATATTCACAGAAGAGTATATAGTCAAAATAATAAAAGGAGCAAACCCAACTGATGGTATGACACAGCTGATTGACAACTGATAGACGGTTGGAGGTAAGTCCATTTATTTTAAATTTATGGAATACTCAGCTTCAAAAAGCAATCTGCTACCAAATCAGGTCTCTCCCAATATTTTAATCTGATTTGGCATGAATAGCTTCTGTTGAAAACCAAGGCAGGTTGGATAAAGGAGGCCAAATATAACCACCTTCTCCCAAGAACCTTAGAGCTGAAATCAAATATGATTGGGTACCAGTTTCCACTCAACTGGCATACACACAGATGTCACTTTGTACAACATCAGCATATATTGTACTATGACTTTCATACATTCTACTCTTAAGACACAATATATGGAAACTGTACGGATAATGAGGGAGCACGAACTGATGGACTCACTTGGGTGAGGCCAAGTCCGGATCATCTGGGTTCACTTTGCGGGGTCGGCGACCCATTCTATCTTTTCCCATTGCCTTTGCCTCCTCACTGTAACATTCAAGGAATACCAAGAACCCTGAATGCCAAAAGACTTGAACCCATAATTCTCAAGATATTTACAGCTCTTACTATAACAATATATATGCAACTGTATGGATGGTCACACACCAAACAGACACATCTCATCTCTGGCATAACCAAAGGCCTTTCTCTGGCACAATGGCCAAAGATTGGATGGACATCCTCAACATGAATGCAATAAAATATCACTTCTGATTTCTAGTGAGAAGGATGCACTGTAAATTTTCAGGTGCATCATTCTCAATTGAGGGTGACTGTACAGACAGATGAAGGGAGGCAGAAGGCCAACATATCAACTCAGTTCATACACCAGCAAGGTACACTTGTGTGGAGTTCTTGATATTCACACGTACAAATGGAGATACTACCTCAGCACCCTTTCTCTATGATGATCAAATGACCTATCATAATCATCTCCCATTGTTCATCTTTGCTGATGCCATTTCAGCCACCATGTAGCAAAATAATTTTTTTTAAACCTGCATTGACAAACCTCAGACATTTTGGAGGCAGAATATTGCAATGCTGATCTATGTAAAGTGCTCCAATTTAAACATGTTTAGGATTTTCTACACTGAAAACAAGGCATGTGGTTTTCCAAAATGTTCCAGCATGTTGAAGATGTGTGTCAGAAATGTGCCTCTCTGGGATGCCTAGATCCAGGTATGTTCAATTTTTACCATCCTATAGAGTTTGGTAAAAATTGAAAATATTGTCATGCTGACAATTTCTCAGAGTAGAACGTGTGGGAATCAGAGATTCTCTTAAGTCAATGCTGATTTCAGGCATTCAAGTAATTTATTTTGGGCTATGTCAATTGGATGACAAGACATTTGGAAGCACCATTAATCTTAGGTCTTACTTTCCTCCTGGTAAGTAGCTAATGAAAATTAATGATATATCATTTTGAGATAATTCTGAACTGCCACAGCTGCCCTGCACGACTCCAATACTTCTTTGGAATAGAGTCGGCCCAACTGGAAGCATCTTCAACGTTAGACACGACAGGGAAGAAGACGGCAGGTAAGTTCACCTTGCCAGGTTTCCACGTGTATCCCAACAGCCTCTAGGGTAAAAAGGGAGGAAGAGACACAAACCCACTCGTGTGGAGGAAGGGGGAGGGAATCTTCCTTCGCTTTCATGTTACCTGGCGTCTTATCACCTGTCTTTGTTCAGATTTTATTTTCCCTTCCCTTTCGTCTAACAAGGTCTCACGCTAACATTGGGTGACCAGACGTCCCTGTATTTAAGGCTATGTCCCGGTTTGGAAACTCCCGATTTTGGTCCCGGTAATTGGAGGATACTAACTAAATCCATTAACGCTTCTGGAAAAACGCAAGGATGGATAGCAGTCAATACATTTTCATGATTAAATTTTCCTTTCCATTCTGGTGTCCCGGTTTTTGGCATTGCTAGGATTGCCAAAAAATGTTCCGGTTTTTCATGAAAATATCAGGTCATCCTTCCCCATCATTCATCAGGATCTTCGTGCTAAAATTTTTGAGTGCATGTCATACTTCGCAGCATTCAACACTTGGCATCCTACGTGTGTCTGGAGACCTCAGTTGGTATATTCATCTAGCATCCCGAAATAACTGTCTCGTGTTTAAAGTGGCCGCATACCAACGCGAATCGGAACGAAGCGTTTTCTTTTCCTCCCTGGAATGATATCTTACTGTTCTCAAGGGACAGCGTGCACTGAAGCAAATCTAATCGGAGTGGGCCGGAGAGAATTTTTTCGCGCGGTCCGAGCATTTTCACACAGACATGGATGTTAAATCCGCGGTCTAGGAAAAAAAAAAAAAGGGGGACCTGTACGACGTGGCACGCTGTAGATAAGACCACCGCTCCGCTTCGGGGCGTCTGCAAAATTCACGCCGATCCAAACGATCCGACCCGAGTTGGCGATGGGCACGCTAAAATGCCTCGAGTTTGAGGCTTACGGACGACACAGAGTAACAGGACAAGAAACGAACACTGAAACCCCGGCGAACGAGTTCCGTCCCGAGTGGAAGAATGCAACCCCAAGCCCCCTTCCTGCCTTTCGGCGCGCTCTTACACGCTGCCCGTTGTCTGGATGCAGAGAGAAAGCAGACGGCGAGGAATTTCTCGTCCCATCGTTCCCATAATGCTCAAAACTCTATTTTCTTCTACTCATGTCGATCCGATTCTCCGCGCGCATGGCGGCTGTGCAGGACAGCAGTGTTCTCAGTCAACATCGATGGATAGAAAGGGTTTCTTTTCCATCTCACGAGGCCTTTACTTCAGTTCGCATAATTTCGGGTTCGTTGCCTTGGTTCTTGCACTTTCCTAATTTAAAAAAAGGGACCATTATATTTTTTTTTGCAGAAGAGTGAGTCGTGCAAAGCAGGCTGCCTTCTTACGAGCCATCCTTTCATTGGATTCCATTAAATAAAATTCACTTTTGACTCTTTTGCTAAACTGTACACTATCCAGTCCAACTAAAAGTAAAACTGGAATTCAGGGAGAGATTTCAAGCCAGGATAACATTCAGGGGTTTTAATCTGAATAAGAACTTTAATCGATTAATCTAATCGGATTGGCATTCCCAAAGTGTAGCCAATCCGTCGTTGGGTATTGAGATTCTACCACATTGACGAACGCTGCCACCCAGCGGTGATGGAGTGTAGTATACGTCAGGGTGGGAGCAGCCATCCGTCCCTCTCAGTGGTGGATGGGCAAACGGCATTCATCCTCTCGGCCTGGAGGGCTTTCCAGGCCCTCTCACTCCAGCTAGTGGAGAGCATCAAAATGGCTAAGTGTAGGGGTATGCATTTCGGTCTTCCCTCCATTGAATTTCCGTACTCTTTTTTTTTTTACGACCAAACATGCGACGATCAAATGAGGCAACGGAAGTTTTTCAACCACAAGTCATAGAGGAAGAGGGTCCTCATTTAGCAGAGCCACAACAACCGAAATCACATTCCCTCTCATTCCCCCTCCTCGGCCGTGTTACAAGGTCACGCTAGTCCCATGATATGAACGAGACACTTTTAAGGCGTTCTGCACCCATGCCTCTCCTCACTCGGCCACCAAACGATGTCGTCTCTCTACCTACCGCGCTTTCCCCGTGATGCAGCTTATGCAAGTGACATCAGAGCTCTCAAATAACCCCTATTTCCACTGGTCGAAACCACATTCATGATTTTTAGGACAAGTGAGTCACCTTTGAAATCTCCTGCTTCTCAGTTTTAACGTGCTCAACGACTATACACATTATACAGAAGTTTTCACGGAAATTCACAGAAGCAGGGAGGGGGGATTTTTCTCTGTTGCCTTACGAAAGAGGGCAGGGTCGCCATTCATAAAGAAAACGTATGATCTGGGACAATATTGGACTGGAGAGCAGAACGATAGTTGCTGGAGAATATCTCGTTTGCTTTGTCGAAAATCCTATAATTTGCTGAATTAATCTTTTTCAAGTAGAACTACTTTGCCCGCTTCGGTTTTGGCATGGCATTAGCAATGATGCACATTGACAAGCTCAAGAAACAAGGAAAGACATGGAACGGAACATTAAAATTAAAGAACTACTAGGGTGTTGTGTGCTACTAGTGACATCTGCTCGACAATAAACTACGGACGAGAAATTTTCACGCACATCTCTGCACGCCGTCATAAATACAGAAAGTAAAAAATATATGGGATAAGGTGGGAAAATCTCAGGCCAAAACAACAGCTTCGACGTGGTGCTACATACGCAATTATTTTCAGTAATTGACTAAATTTTTTTTACGAGTGACTAACCAAGTGATAAAGTGCCATGCGATAAAAAAAAAGTGGAAAAAAAAAAACAAATGGGCAAACACCCGCTCACTCTATTCTTAAGGAGGCAATCACCGACTCTTGGGAAAGAGAGTAACTGAAAACAATATCCCCATGGGTTTATGGTTAAATGGATGAAATGCATGCACCCCTGTTATGAAGTTGTCTAAATTTTGCTAAGCACTGCAAAACCTCCAACCTCTGTGGTCATACACCTGCTCCACTGAGTTAATTCTTCAACAGATGTTTATAGGTTCACCTTTGCTTATTTTTGCCCAAGGTGGTTCCAGATCAGGCTCAAAACAGAAAACTGTGGCCCTACAGTAGAGCCCAATTTGCATGCTGAAACTCAGTTATTAAACCATGATAGCATAACAGGAAGCCAGGGAAAAACATAAAAACACACACGCAACAAAAATGTACAGCAGTTCTCAACCTGTGTGTTATGGCACTTAGGAGTGCAGTAGGTGCTGGAAGTTTTTATTATTTGACCTTTCACTTAAGAAGGGCAAGAAGGCTCCAATGCCCATTTACTGATGTAAAGATGAGCAATTCCTGGGGTCACCAGCAGACTGCTACTGAAGAATCACTTTCAAAGTATGACATTTCTAGCTTCAGCCAATCTGTCAAGGAAGAATACCAAGATCAGCATGTCGCTGTATTGAAGATCCTAATCCCTTTTCCCATTTTACCACCATACATAACCTGTACCACACAAAAACAAATCTTTTATTTATGAATTATGAGATCCTGGTTTTAATTATTTCCTTTGGGCCTGTATTATCATTTATTCAGGTCCATGGAAGTGAAGAGGTGCTGTCAACATCTTCTCGCCTTAAAAGTGAGCCATTCTTTATAAAGAGGTTGAGAACCACTGCTACAGTACGCCATGTATTTCTTTTTAGGCAAGCTGGACAGTGATTGATGGATATCCCTCCAGGATTGAAAGACCTCTTGTCTTCCCATTCCATCTTCCATTTTTCTTATTCCTTGCTTCCATATCTTCCAAAGATGAGTTTTTTGGGAGGAGGAATAATGGGGGGGGGGGGGGGGGGGGGGAATTCCCTTAGGTGAAATGAGTAGGAACATACAATGGGGGTTTTATAGTAAGGGAGCTACTGGCATGAGCCAATAACCTTCCTAGTGTCTTTCACTCACCAGTGTATCTCTAATGGAATCAATAAAAATTGGGCTACCAATATGCCACTCCAGAGGGATGTTACCCATTTCTTCTCAGAACACACAAAGTAGGTCTACTTAATCAATTAATTGAAGTAATTAATAACTCTGAAGCAATGGATAGCTTATTATTTTGATAGCAAAGAATCTTGTATCTTTGAAATATACAGGATTCTTAGTTCCATAGGAAGTTATAAGTATCTACAAAATGAGACTTTCCTAAACAATCCAAGAGGCAGATAGAAACAAAAAACAAAATTTTGTTACCAACAAGTGAACATTAGAACATGATTTGCTTAAAAAACCTGCCTTCACCAGTTCAAGCAAATGAATCTCTCCATCCTTCCTTACTGCAATTGCCAACCATCTTCATTACCCTAAAATTGTCAGGTGTATGATCTGACATAAGTGTTTCTCCAGTAAGTTGTGCACTCTCATCACCAAGCATGAGTTACCTATCACTTCAAGAGAACCTCATTTCTTGTTAGAAAAAACTTGCTACTTTCCATGGAAATTAAAAAATAATTTATCTTTGAAATGGTGTGGGAATCTTATCCAGATCACCCTGTATCAATCAGCATATTCATCAATATGTTTTTCTTTGAAGGAACATTATTTTAAAAAATTCAAACAACAACTATTATGCAACACATCTACATTCTCAAGATTGATGAGGGTTCTTCATTGCCAAACAGTGTGCATCATTGGTAATTTAACATAACCCAAACTTAGTGTTTGCAAATTGTCATTGCAAGCAAAAGTCAGAGCTCCTTCAAATATAGTTTTCAATTGACCTGCAATTAAGGAAGTTCTGGGTTCATGGAAAAAGATACAATTTTCAATATAAACAGGATGTGTTTATGAACAAGTGAGACAGCCATCATCCAGGCTTGTCTTAGCTCAGTCATTTTATGGATCTTGCTTCACTGTCAGGCTTAGATCCTTTTGCCACATAAAAACCAATTATAATTTTTTTCTTGCCTCCTTAGACAATGCAGTCCATTCAATCAGGTGCTCTTCTCATAAACCCCACCAACTTCTCTTGAAAATGATAATCCTAGTTCCCTTGAACTTCCAATGCCAGACTGGGTAGCACAAAGTGGGAGGGGCATCCATGCTATTATCTAATCTTCTATTAGTTGTTTTTAATTTAATTGGAAGAATTCAACAAAAGAAACATTTGTACACCCCTCTCTCTTGAAATTATTCCCTTAACACACAATGAACAGTTGACAGGGTTCATATTGGAAACCTCCACTTCAAAACAACCCAAAAATTTAAATTGGCAAGAGAAAATCAAAGAACTATGTTTTCATAAATAAAAAAAAGGATCCAAGCCTGACACTAAAACATAATTCATAAATCACTTACCTGGAACAAGTCATCATGATGTCCACTACATTAGTTTTTTAACATCCCTCAGAAAGGGAGAGAGAACAATTATAACCAGTACTGCAAAAACTAATGCCTTAACAATGCAGACAGAAATTACCTGGTCTACACCAAACATTTCCTTTGCTATGACACATCATAGAGAAAATCCATTTCCTTCCAACAACAAAAACAAATTGATCAAAATCAGTCAAGACTTGAAAATTAAAAAAATGAAGCCTGGTCTTTAAAAGGAATAGGATGTACTACTTACCGGACTGCAGCAAGAGCAGAAGCAACCTTATGAAAAGATTGTGGCTTCTGCAGCTCGTGAATGATTTTGGCTTGAAGCTGTGCCTTTGGAATGTATGACTTTGTCAACTTCGAGTTACCCAGAATAGGAAGAATCTTCTGAAGGTCAATCACACGTAAGCTGTGTACCAAATCCTGCAGAGGAAAATGATGTTAGAGGCAATAAGACATAGGGGGGATAGCTATTAGGTACTGATACTGGAACTTAATATTGTCCATAAAAGTAAAGTAAAATGAAGTTGATATTCAGTTTCTAAGTTTATTTATTGTAGGGTTGTGTTGATATATAGAATTGCTCAGCATCCCTTACTCCTAGGAGTACCAACCAAAAGCAGCAAATGTAGCAAATTCTGACAAGCTAAGCTGTTTTATATAAGACTGCTAAGATATTTTCTTAAGCCCAAAACAAATAAAGCTCATGTTTTTCTTGGGACCTTACAAGCATGAAGAAAATGAAAAAACTCTTTTACTGCTGGGAAACTGGACCCTCTAAAATCTCCAATTCAGTAATAAATTCTGCAATACAGCTCTTTCTTCATGTCCCATTCCTTTGTGAGTTTAAATTTATGCTAGGAAAAATTCACATGGAAGTTGGCAAAAGAGAACGACTGTCAAAAAGACAGAAGTAGCTTCCCTGTCAAGGTTTACTTAAATATTAATTTATTTAAGGATGAGCACAATTTACAAATCCCCTATTTTTTCTCCATCCTCCCATTTTCCAGTCATCATTGAATGATAGAACTCTGTCCTTCAGGTGGGAATTAGACTGAAGATTGTACTGTAGGTGAAATATGAGGCTTTTCCCATCATCTCTGAGATTGTATTGTTTCACGTTACTGCTGTCTCCTTTGCCTCTACTGCAGTGCATGCAATTGTCCTCTGGAAGAGCCTACACACTGAAGTTCAAAATGCAGGTGCTTAAGCTCACCATGCAGCTTTTATCCCTGTTTATCATAATGAAGGGGGGAGTTGAGCTCCTGCTGCTGTCTGCTATGGGAATGAGCCTTGTGAAGAGACTGGGTTGGACAGACGTTTGGGGATGAGCAGCAACGCAGTAATGAGTTGCAGGAATCGCCGAAGCCAGTAGCAGTCGACAGAAAGGATACAGAATAAGCCGAGAACCAGTGTGGAAGGTGGACCTCGTCTATTACGCGTTTTCGGTCCATCAACGGGAGATATCCTCTCCTGTTTGACATTATCAGATTCGTCTTTTCCCCACGTTTCGAGAATGATCCGGCTACCTCCACGTGACCTCCCCCAGTCCCCGTTAAATGAACACATCGATAGTTGGGATCCTAAGTCATTGCGGAACACCGAGTTTGGTCCTACGGGCCTAACGTAAGCCTAACCACAACATAATCACCTAGCGTAGGAGTTTCAGTTGACCCTGTGAAGAACAGAAAACTTACCACGTATTCTTGAAATCCTCCCAAATTCCAATTGTGATGAGGGTGAAGACTGGCCATCGGACTTTCCCATGCACAGAAAGTCAATCGTGAACGAACTTTTATTTACTACAAGACAAGATTACATCACATACAGAGGCCAAGTCTCCCAGTGTCCATTAGGCGCATCTGCTAAGTCACAGGCACAAGAATCACAGAATCCAACTGGCCTACGAAAACACCTAAATTTTACGACTGAGGAGAGACTGCTCTCAGTCCCACATCGCGGCCATTTGTGTCTGCGGATTGTCCCCAGTGATGCAAGGCGCAGTGATGCGGCGCGCAGACCCAGTTCCTCACTTCCTTCCGAAAATTTAATACAGATGACGCTAGTGTTTACGCACCAGAGCAGAGACATGGTAAATATACCTAGACTGGACATGACAGTCGAAGATTTCACGCCGATTTGAAGGGCTGGCGGCCATTACTGATGGCGTCAAGGAGACGATGAGGCCTGGGGTTCACTGAGGCGCACATGGTCAAATTGTTCAGGATTCGTATACTATGAAAGACCACTGACTGGGTTGGGTATCAGGTCTTTCAATGATGAATCTGGCTTGATAACTATTGACCCTTTTGCGGGGTCTAACCTTAGGTGTGGCGGAATTTTCATAGCCTGCTGAACAGCCTCATGTAGACCCTGAGCCTAACTGCATGGGGAACTGATAATACGCCCTCTTATTATTGAGTGCAATGAAAATAAAGACGGAATGGGTGGCATTAATCAATTTTCAAAATACCATGCATCGTCTCTGAAGACCAGGTAGGCCTAGGTCTAGGCCTACGCGGTCTTCTTGGAAAACGTGAAAACTGTGTAGTGTGACGTCATGAATTGGAAAGCTATGCGTTTAATGGTCGATTTGACGCCATGAGCGATGGCGGCTGACCCTTCTAATCGGCGTGCGGCTTGGAGAACAGGCTGGCCAATGGAGAAAGCCTGGCTTTCTCCATTGGCCTGTCCGGTCTAGGTATATTTACCATGTCTCTGCACCAGAGGCATATCCTCCGAAGACCTTATACTATAGATGACTGGACACTGCGCGAAAGCAGGGTAACCGCAATGGCGGTCTATGCCCTGGTGGTTGGCCCGAGAACTAACGTCAACAGGGCCGGATTAAGAAGTTGCGAGACCTGGGGCAAGTGGGGCTCCCCCCCCCGCCCCCGCTACTTTACGCAAATGCAATACATTTTTTTGTACTTAACGTTTTTCATTTCCTTCGGGGGCCCCCTGGAAGAGTGAGGCCTGGGGCAACTGCCCCTTTCCCCCCCCCCTTCCCCCCTTAATCCGGCCCTGAACGTCAACGTTTCCTGGAGCAGAGTGCTAGTGTCTCTTGAACGAATTCGCGCCCGAAGTCTGACGCCATTTCTATTGTGCGTGACTGACATGGCTGGCGGAAGACCATGGAGTGGAGTTGGGAAAACAATGTTAGGAGGATCTCCCCGGGGGGGGGGGGCTACGATTCTTGAATTCAGACAGAATTGCAAGACGATGCATGCTGCGTAGGTTACCTATGTAGCAAGGAATCAGTTTGTTTTTTAATTTATGAACTGCATTATTTTCAAGAACTGGAGATCGCTGAGTCACAAAGGCAATCTCATCTATTGTTGAGAACTTTTTGGCTTAGCTGCCAGCAACAACGTGTGCGAGCAGAACCCAGCTGTAACCCAACTGGCCCTCAAGAACATAAGGCTGTATATCCAAACCAAAGCTGCAAAATAATTATCCACAGTCTGTTTTTGTCCCTTCAAAATTGACGTCATCCCGTTCTAACAGGCCTGTTAATCCGAGACGCGAAAATGTTGACTTTTTCGTTAGGGTCATGAGACCCTAAAGCCTGTTACATGCATGTAAAGCCATGACCATAGGCCTATTGCAAAGCCCTTGGTGAACACATGCTCGTGCCTTTCTGGATCCTTGGGAAACCGATGTAACGGAACATCGCCAACCATTTGGCCAAATTTCTCCTGGCATGGTGCGTAGGCGCAGTACTTGGATCCAGAAGCAGCCATATTTCATGGGACATTCCGATCCAACGATCCCATTGGTCGGTTCTGCGTAGTTCCGGGGCCAGCCACCAGGGCAGGAGGCTTCCCCGACGTCGAAGGCGCCCGCCACCGAGTGCTCAGCCTTCTTAGTATAAGGTCTTTGATATCCTCAAGTTCGACATCATCGACAGTAGCACCGCCTCTTTATCGAAGTCGTAGATAAACTAAATCTGTAACGCCAGGGTAAAACAAAACTTGAATCAAAATCTTGCAGTCATTTCGGTCTTTATTCCTTCGATTCGATGGTAACAGCGGAACGAGAGGAAACCGGTACAAGTTGCTTAAACCGAGATGGGCTCAGGTTGCGGAATCACTTCTTAAATTGTAGGGTAATGAATGCGTGGAATGTGCGAAGTGACAATGTAGTGGCTGCCCCTTCCGTGACTCGTTTTAAGAAGAACTTAGATGTTTTCACGGACAAAACAGAAATGGGGGCAATGAAGCCGTCAGTAACTGGGCAGTAGGTGGATATACTCGCAACAAAAAAGTATTTTTAATCGGGGCGAGCATTCTTCATTATGCAAGCGTGGAGTCCTCCTGGTAGTCCTCCTCCCTACTCTGATAGAAGGGGGAAGAGCCCCCAGATTCGCTTTCGCTTCCCAGGCCTTTGTCCTGCCTCGTCGCAGTCAGTGGCAATGGTCCGTCGATGGTCCGGCCATGGGCGGTGGGCGGTAGTCAGCCGGGTAGGACGGTCGAAAGTGAGCTGTCGCGTAACAGTGTCGGGTTTCGACAGTCCGGTTTTCGGTCGAGTAGTGTTTGGTGCGGTTCGAACCCCAACGAGTTGCCCGTGAGTCGTGGACAGTCTACAAGTAGGACCCGACTATTTGCGGTACGATGAACCTTCGTTAACCTCGAGGCCGCACATTCGATCTCCGTTGGGAGCCAGGATCGACTTCGTTCTCACGGGAGAGAGGCTGAGACGCTTCTGCCGCGCTCGGACCGAACGAAAACGCAACCTCTTCCGAGTCCTAGCAGGAACCGACAAATTTCTTTCGTACCCACATTGCAAGACTGGAATTAATTTTCTGACACGTTCAGCAATCTTTTATCAGTGCATTTGATTGTAGACCTCGCAAAGACAAAAAATTCTCCCTATATTCTAACGGAGACGGCGCTCGTGTTTCAAAAAAATATTACATTAATACATATTTCCTCGCTACATCTTTGGTCGTGTACACGCAAGTGCCATTCATAAAATGTTAAAATGCATAATATTGAATGAATCCAACACTAGTACCTTCTCAAATCTTGGGAAGCGACATTTTTTTTCTGACTGGAATTTTTGTTCTTATTTTCCTGCTTTATTTTTCTTCGGTTAAAACAACTTCCGCTCCCTTTATTAATCCATTTCCCTCTGTTTTTGTATGGGAATCCCTCCATTAATGCCGGACAAAATCAAACACATTTGCTCTCTTGCAAGAGTGAGGGATTTAAATGAGATTACGGAGGAAAGGGGTGAGAGTTTCAGCCACCAAGAAGAAGATAAAGAAGGAAGCTTTATCTGATTTGAGCGCGTCGAGGGGTCTCTGATCTTATCTTCGCCCGTTCACTCTCGGGCAGCGGGTAGAGACCTAAACGGTTTGCGGGCTATGCGGGTCGGACCGACTCGGTCCGACCCGCAGAGCTGTGATGGTATAATCTTTGGTTATGGCAGCAGGTCGGATTTACTTATTATGGCAGAAATTTTTTTTTCTGACCTCTGGGCTGGAACGGTGGGCAAGGCGACATTTTGACTGCAATTCAATTTGAGGTTGCGAGAAGGAGAAAGTGTCAATGCATCACGATACTGGTAGATTATCGAAAATGTAGAGACAGAGATGGGCTGTTCCGTCGAGCTCACCGCACTAGAGGCTGCATTACACATGCGAGTATGCTCGCGTGGGCGGTGGCGTACTTTACGGGGGGGGGGGGGGGGGGGGGCCCCCCCCCCTTTACCCCCCCCCCCCTGGGGGGTGGGGGGGGGGGGGGGGGGGGGGGGGCGGTCACTCCCACCTTGACGCCCTGCCACCTCTTCGGCCAAAATACGCCACAGCGTGTGGAAGTATCGGGCCAGTGCCACCCAGTGGTTTTGCACAAATGCATGAAAATGGAGAAAAGCTCTATCTCTATAGTAATCTGATCTAGGTCGTCAGCGGGGTAGCGTCGGAAGGACCAAGTACGTGCCCCCCCCCCCCCGCCCCCTCCTCCCACCATGGAAGTAGCCAGGAATGATTTTCGGGGGGTGTCTTGTGCGGCTCTTTCAAGATATGAAGAGGCCGAGGAAGTTGAGTGATTGGGAGGAATGAGGAAGACTTCTTTTCCATACATTCTGAGAGGACTCTTATTTTCGGACCCTATCACAAGACCTCTCTCTTCCCGCGCCGTTTTTGGACGTGTGGAAAGATTCGATGTCGCCCTTCTGATAGATAGGTGGATGAAAAAATCCATTCCATGAATTTAAAATTCGTCGAAACCAAAAGTTCGGCTATGAATATATAAGCATTAATTAAGAGCATCGTTCTGGTCGGAACCGTTGGTAAAGTCGATATTTTGTAGGATTTTGCCGTTCCGAAAATCGGCTGGAACTACAGAAAGCCGCTCGAAGAAAGTCGGCTTAGCCTGTCGCCTGGCTGGTGAAAGTTTTGCAATTTTTTTTTCAGGGATCCCTGAAAAAAAAAATTGCAAAACTTTCACCAGCCAGGCGACATTTTCCCTCGTACCCGCCCTTTCGGCGGCGAAAAACGCCGCTCCTTCACGGAAAGTCCAACGCTCGGTTATTACGATGGGCGATGCTCACTCGCACGCAGGAGCAGACGGTTCTCGCCCGTTCTTTCTTTTCTTTCACTCGTCAGACCATTGAATTTTCACTCACCAGACTCGCCGACCCGCCAAACGTACTCGCCGTGGCGGAGTGGGCATTTTACGAGTCCGGCATAGGTATAGGTTAATCCAAGCATGGGAAACGTAGAGTTCTTTAAAATACACGCACATTCCAATCGCAAAGCCTCGATGAATGTGAAATAGGAAACGTAAGCCCGTACGTGCCTGTACGAAGATGGTCGGGACACGAATGGCTTTCTCATCCCCTCGAGCCGGTCATTCGACTCGGAATACCGCTCTAAAGCACGAGGCTGTTAGCACGTGGTCGGACTACCGGCTCGAGGGGTCGATCCCCTCCTCCCTCAGGGAATGCGCGGAGCTATGGAGGCAAAAACGGTGGGGCGCTATATTTGTTGAGAGTGATTATATTTAAAAGGTGGAATAGGAGCACAAGTCTAAACTTCAGTTGTATATGTGAAGCTTTTCAACCCACCCCCTCCCCCTGCATTCCTTGTTTCATTAAAATTTTCTCAATTTGTTTAATTAATTTGTAAAATTTAACACCCCCTTGGCCACTTTCCTGGCCTCCCTCCTGTGTCCTCCCACCCTCCCCCCCCCCCCGCTCCCCCAAACACTTTTTCCATCCACTCTGTGCTTATCTAGATTGCACATGGAGAGAATCTTTCCCTGCAACGCCAACCAAACACCTTCCCGGTCTTTGGTCGGCAGTTAACATTAAGTCACTGTTGCAATGTCGTTTATCGTAACACTCAGATGAACGTTGGGCCAACATTGCAACAATGTTCACTCCCACCCTTGTAGCACCCCAATATTTGGTCCATAACGAAGGCAATGGACTACATGTTGTTCTGGATGTACTAATCTTAGTACTGTTCAGGGAACGGTCCTCGCTACTGGTGTTACTGGGGTGGTAACACTGAATAGGTTCTTGGAAAGAACATTTTCTTTCCCCATTTGGCGATGCATGCTCCATGATACTACCATAAATATTATTTAAAAAATCCGATTTAAGAAGGTATCATACGAGAGGTCCTGCAAAAGTTCTGTCGTTTTCATTGAAAAAAAAGTAGATTTTTCTCTGTATTTTTTTCTGATTCTGTATTTATTCATGACTTTTCAACATATTTGCCGCCGATATCTTTGCACTTTTTAAAGCGGTATATCCAGCTCTGGAAGCACTGCTCGAAATCTTCCTTTCTCAGCCGGTTCAGCTGAGTGTTGACAGCTTCGATGACATCGTCGATGGTCTTGAAGACTTTCCCTCGCAAAGGTTGTTTGACTCCTGAGAACAGCCAGAAGTCGCAGGGCGGGGGCTGGATCAGCTGGATGCCAGAGGCGCCGACGAACGGCAACGTCTTTGAAGCCCTGTGCGCTGGCGCGTTGTCATGGCGGAGGAAATGCTTCTTCAGGATGGACTTGGGGCGACCTCCCTGAAGCTTGTCGAACACTTTCGGCAGGCAGTTGTCCACGTGCCAATGGGAGGTTACAGTCTTTCTCTGCTCAAGCGGTACGCTGGCGACGATCCCATCGTGGGAGAAAAAAATGGCAAACGTGATCTTTCAGGCGGACTTTTCTCGACGAGCTTTCACCGGGGGAGCCTCTCCTTTTTTTGGTCCAGACCATTGACTGCTGCTTGGTTTCTGGGTCAGACTTGTGGAACCAAGCCCCGTCTCCAGTGACAACGAACCGGAACTTCGGAGATTTGCCTTCGTCAAATTCTTCGAGGAACCAGCGGCTGAACTCGACACGGGCGTTCATTTGCAAGAATTTGCAAATTTGCATTTGTCGAGAGGCGGGGCACCCATCTGGCGGCTTTAAGGCTGAGACCAAGGTGGTCGTGCAGGATTCTGTACACAGACGTCACTTCGATCCCGAGCATCTCCTCCAACTTTTCCCCCGTCGGTCGAGGATCTTCTTCGATTGCCGCCTTCACCGCTGCCACGCTTTGTTCATCGGTCGATGTCCGGGGGCGTCACTCCTCGACGCCAAAATGTCCCGTCGAAAATCTCGCGAACCACCTTTCCACGGTCCTGATACGCGGGGCTTCGTCACCGAGCACATTTTTCAACTCTCTTTCTCGTTTGAACCACGGCGAAAGAAAAACAACACAAGCTGATGCTCTTTCGTAAAAGGTGGAAATTCGGGCCGACCACCCGCGCTTGTTTTTCGTTTCCTCGTCTCCATCGCTTCCTCTTGGGTCGAGAATATTTTACAACGTGATTAGATTATGTAGGAAGGGAACAGAAACGTTTCATTCGCTTACACGAAAGACAACTGAGGAACCGACAGAACTTTTGCAGGACCTCTCGTAATGCCATAACACTCTCATAATATTCACCCAAAGTTGGATTTCGACCTTCGACGTCGATGACAATGCATTGACTCTGGGGGAACGTTCCCACGACGCTACTACGTTTGCTGGATGGCGAGTGCCTCTCGTGAAATGTTTTTTCTACTTTTTGTTTCTCGCTCCTCATCTATGAACAGCAAATGGGGATGCCAGTACGACGTGGGCCCTGGATTGGTGAGGTGACCGATTTCGCCCTTACGGGCCGTGAAGTGTTGGCAATCGGGTAGGGTAAGCACCCCGGTTTCTGGCCGGTCTCCTGTTGTTGGCCGGTGAGGCTTAAATCCAGCATAATTAGTTAATCTGACCGTTTTTAAGCTTTCTATCAACGTCTTCCCGCACGAGGACCTATTACTAGTGTTTCATGGTGTGCGCACAGGGTGTCCACTTCCCATGGGAGGAAGTATCAGCGTGGCAAAAAACTGGGGTGTTTACCCTATAGGATCGCGTGCGAGATCGCCGGAAGATCGGATCGGGCTCGTCGATCGCGGCCCGTGTAGTACTCTAGTCACAGAGACAAGGTCCGTGGTCGCGGTGCTGCGATGCCAGCTGAACTAGGCCCAACGCAGGCCAGTGGAGCGTTGCCTTGACGTTGTAGCTGGGACCAGGAAGTACGAGCCCGATGAGCTTAGATTGTGAAGAGGTTCTGAGATTACTTAAGGCGGAGGTGAGCCCATCGCATGCTTTGCTTGCCTGTGCCTAGCCTAGCCCTGCCCTCAGGCATGGCCTATTCATGTAATTCTCGAATTTGGCCGTTTGAAGGTTTTGAGTGTTGGAGGGGTGGGCTGTAAGGAGGGAATATGGGCCTGTCGGATTATATGTAAAGTTCTGGATTTTCACGGTCATTCGCCATCACAACAGCCTTCTGTCTTAAACAGTATTAGACTATACAGCAGAATTTCAATTTTCTCACTTTTGATGAACTTGAAGATCTCATACACCTGTTAGCTGAAAGTCAGTTAACCAAAACCATCTTCATGATTCTGTGGTGTAGTCCATTACCCTCGTTTGGTCAGCTTAGATCAGCGGTTCCCAAACCTCCCTCTAGCATCGAACCTTCAGGCATCCAGTGGGTTGCAACCCATGGTTTGGGAGCCATAGGCTTAGAGCATTGTGAGATGTCATGAAATGAGGCTTTATCATGTAACAAATTCCTGGTAACAGGATCCAGATGGAGATTGGAAAGTGAACGAGGCATGGGAGGTGAAGGAGGCAACTGGGAAGTCCTGCGTGCTTCACCCGGTGAAGACCACGAGGAGCGGAGAGCACGTCTTTGCGTGTGTCACGTGCACATCTGTCTTCCAGGCTCCCCAAGTCAAGGACCATTTGGCCTCAAAGAAGCACCAAAAGAAATCATCAAAGCAGCTGAACGATGATGAAACCTTTGCGGTTCACCTCATCCGAGGTGGGTCGACTGCTCAGAGATAAAAATTTCAGTCGATTCTTAACCTGTCCATTATTGAGGGGATGCCAGTGTTAAACTAATTTTCAAAAGTAAAGTTAGTAAAACAGTAATTAGTGCTTTTTCCTATCTTAGCATGTTAAAATATGTGACTTTGATTTTACCAGCACAAAAGTGATTTTATTAGACTGGGGCACTTCAAGTACCCCCCTCAGTAAAAAGTGAACACTGAATACCTCAGTTACAGAAGGGTAAAAAATGGATTTTTTTTTAAAAAGGAGTCTTCTTAATCTAGTGACATTGGATCAAGATGTGACTCGTCTTTCATTGGAGGACTTTGAGGAGAAGAAGAAGCATGTCAAGGACAAGCTGAACAATCCAGAGCTTGTTCGTTTTCAGGCTCGATACCATGCCTTCTTGCCTCCACGTTTCAAGCTTCATGGTGGTTGCATTCTCCCTGTGGGTGAGTCAGATTGATTTGTTTTAAATAATCATGGCATTTGTGAAGGTCACCAATAAGTGAAATTTCCGTTGTGGTTATTTGGTGTTGCATTATTTAATAGATTCCTCTCTTCATTTGAGGTCAGGCTGAGCTTAACATAAGTCTGTTATTTCCATACAATGTGCAAAGAGTATCATTCTTCTTCCAGGAGTGGAGTATCTCGTGGAGATAATCTCGGAGTGGATGATTTTTCGTGGAATGATGAGACTTCAGTATGGATACACCTGTTTCCTTTGTGACAAGTCATTCCTCGAGAAGAATCCATTCGGCTCTCTCATGCAACACGTCTTGAGTCGGCGCCATGTTTTCGCTTATGTGGTTGGGAAACCATTGACCAAGAATTCATGATCATTGCCTTCAGTGTGCATTCAGCTGAGCCTTGGAATAATGTTCTTTTGCAGGAAAGTCATTTCCCTCACCTGAAGGATCTCTGTACTTCTCCAGCCTCCCTGGAAGCATTTCAGAAACTGGTCGCTCAAAGGGGTAGAGTCTTTGAAATGCTGTCTGTGGATAAGGAGGTGTTCGACGGGAATAAGGACCACATTGCCGCATTTGTCAAAGGCGGTAAGCATAACAGGTAAAATGCATTTTTCTTTGCATATTTTCTTGGTGATGAAAGATCAGAACCAGGGCATGATACATATTGTACCTATTCATACATAACTGGATATGCTTAATGTGTTACAAGAATCAAAGGGACAAGTTAAAGTGCTCATTGAATGTAGAAAATGACCAAGTAACTCAAATACTCAAACCTGAAACCAAGACAAAAACAGATAAAAAGGCTTAAACCTCATTCCTATATCATCAGCACCCCCTTTCCACTCCTTGGCTCTCTTCAAGATATGCCACTGTTTCATGCATAAGAAGACATGCTCCATTCTTCACATGATGTTAGTTGCTTCAAAATTATCAGCTTTTTATTGCACCTTTGAAGAGTAGTAAATTTGTGAATTTGAAAAGAGATGATGCCATCTAATGATGAATAATGATTAAGGGTGTACAATGCTCATTACATGAAGAGTAGATAAAAATGACAGCAGTGCTAAAAATTAATTCTTAGAGATATTGCATTTGCTGTGTTTTTTCTACTAAATCATTACCATCATCACATGGCATCTGCTTCATTGTTGTTTAAGAAAGTGCTTAAGAAACCAGTTTCACTTTTCTATAGATGTTGGTGAACATATTCAAATTATGCATTTTGTTGGGAGGCATATGACATGATGGATGTCCAAGGTATTAATGAACAGTAGTAGAAATTGAGAGTCATAATTTTCTGTTCCTTGGACTGTTGTAAATATGTTGAAGGATTGCCGATGTAAAAGGGGATGCACCTATTAGACAGAAAAAGGAATAGAAGTATCAATTTGTAGGATTTTTTTCAGGCAGTTAACACATTGACGACCAGCCTATTTTTGCTTGTCCGCCACATGGGACCACGCGCATTTTTTTTGTCAAAAAATGCATCCTGCCATCAGGACGCATGGTCCCAGAAAACATTTTTTTTTCCTAGTTTATTTTNTGCTTGTCCGCCACATGGGACCACGCGCATTTTTTTTGTCAAAAAATGCGTCCTGCCATCAGGACGCATGGTCCCAGAAAACATTTTTTTTCCTAGTTTATTTAAAATGTTGAATTTTTTGGAATTTTTATCAGTAATTACGAAATCATAATCTTCTGGAACGTTCTCAACAGTTCCAGAGGGTATTCATTGAAAAAAAATCTGCATCCTGGCATCAGGACGCATTGTCGCCAACGTGTTAATAGCTTATAGATTGTTCATTCTATTCCCTTATCCACCATCCTTATCCCTTTAAGTTGCTCACATGTCATCTGCATTTGGCCATTTCTGACTTGCTTTTTCTTCATGCAGTTCTGATCATAAGTTTCCCACATATGTAGTTCAATGGAAATTCCTGCTTCTGTATAAAAGTTTTCACATCTTTCAATATTGGCTAACACTGGAGTAAGAGCAACATCAATCTTCTGCAATGGTAATCTTAATTGAGGAGTTTCGACTCCCCTGTTTTTAGTTTCATTTGTGCATTGGCTAAAAAACAGCCTGGTGAATGTGCTGCTGATGACTTGCCTTCCTTTTGAAATTATGTAGCTTCTCACTGCCTGCAGAAAACTTCCAGGCAGCTGTGAGTTGGGTTCAGAAAATTAGGGAGAATTCCAAGGAGAAACATGCCTCCAGTGTTGACCTTGCACCCACTCGGGCTCTGACATCCATGGTAAATTAAGGCCTTACCACTATTCTCATTGCACTTTTGGCTTGCAAGTGGCAATGAAGTCTGGAATCTCACAGGTGGATAAAGAGATGCAGCTATCAAAAGAACATCAACAACCAAAGCCTGTTGTTCATCAGCACCAGTCAGGATCTCATCACTCCCCCATGGTACTTCAACAGGCTACACCTGTCCTTGAGCACAGGCAGGGATCTCATCGTCCTCCACCTGGGACCGTGCAGCATCCATCGGAGCTCCAACAATCAACATGTGTTCATCGGCACGAACCAAGATCTCGACGACCTTCATCGAGTGCAGTGCAGATTCCATTAGAGCCTCAGCGTGTAATGGCTGTTCATGAGACAAGATCTCAACATCCTCCATCTGGAACTGCACTGGCATCACAAAACGTGCAGCATCCGTCGGAACTTCAACAGGTACTTCGCGTCGCTCATTCTCGGCTCCAACTGGGATCTGACGAGTCTCCCTCTGGAAGCAACACGGTGGCACTAAGGCAGAGCCCAGTGTCTGCACCGAGTCTAAATGATGGCAAGTGCAAGATGCCAATGCAGGGGACTTACAGCCTCATGAGCAAGTTCCTCCGGGACCATGTCGGATGTGGGCACGTTTTGGACTTCGGTCAGGTGTTCTTCCGGGACCGCATCGGCCAGAGTTTGAAGGGGTTCCTGTTGGAGACGTCGGCCGAGGATTTTCCGAACGTTCGGGAAGCCACGAGGAAGTTGGAAAGGTTGCAGTTGCCCAGTGATCCAAGATCTCCTCAGTTGCCCAGGATTCCTCTCCTCTATCCACAAGATGTGGCCCTGTTGCTTTTGCTGCACAAGACATTGGAGCCTTCAGAGCAGGAGTGTCTCAGTGATTACTTACAATTCCTGAAGGAAAAGAACACTCGTGAGCTGAGACGCATCTTCCACGCGCTGAAGATGTTGAAAGAGAGTGGGCATCTCCCCTCGCACGATGACCCGAAAGTTGACGAGGCTCGAGCAGCCCTCGGGATCCGGTGAGATGCGTCCGTGACAGTCCAGTGGGTCTCCTTGCACCAAAGTCCTGGATGAAATTCTTTTGTACTTCACTTGACTTTCTTGCTCCTATGATTCTTAGAGATTTGCAATCTCTCCCATGCCCAACAAATGCCTTGCCCGATGAGTAACACGGTATCCTTGCACGTTTGCCTGCCTTTTTCCCATGTGAAGAGTTGGGAATCCCCTTAATATTGGATTGAATTAAAAAGGCATGTCTCAAAGTTGCTTTTTCCTTCATGTGCAATGTCTTTGCTGTCTGTGGGCGAGATTTCAAACCTCTGCCTGTCATTGCAGTCGAGATGATTTGAAAGATTTTTGTGAAAAACTGGAGTTTATGTTCTGTGTATGATGCTCAGAAAATCAAATTTTGTTTCAGGACTACCACATGTGATCAATGCCACGAAATGCCATGTAGCCGCACGACCAGAAATTGTTGAGTGCCTTTCTCCATTTGTTCCTGAATGAAATGAATATTTTCAAGACGTTTCTGAGTTGTTATCGTATGGGACAAAGTGGTTGCTTCTCATACCACACGTCCCCATTGTGGCGCCCTTGAGAACTGCATACTCTCACTCCATTGGAGACAGAAATGAGTTTTAAATTTGTATCAGACCGTGGAATGAGGAAATGGGTAGCCCCTTCCCTCCCCCCAATCCCAAAAAATTAGACAAAATAGCAAGAACAGTGCTCGCTCAACGGCCTCACCCTCCCCGCACTTCAACCTGACCAGACTGACGAGGGGGCTGATGAGTAATTTTAGGGAGAGCCGAAAAAAAAAACCTTGTCGGTTCCCCTCCTCCAATCCCAATGGGTCGAGTGAGAACGCTTTACCGTGCATACTGAGCATTTGGAATTCGTGCGATCTCATCTTTTATTCGAGAGACTCCAGAGCAGAGGCGCTCCGAGTTTCTGAGAGTGTAGAGGCAAAAAACGGAATGTCCTAACTCCTTTCAGTTGAATCTTCCAGAGGTTTGCGAAGCGAGCAAAAATTTTTTATTTTTTCCCAGGATGAACGAGATCGCATCTTCATGCGTGCGATCGGCCACCGTTTCCCCGAGCCCTCATTCAAAAATCCTGCGCACGAGACCGGCTTTCACAATTTCGAAACATCGAAACGCGCTCCCATTAATTTTCTGGATTCACCTCCGGTTCGGTGAATTCGCTCTCTCGTTTGTTCACGGTTTCTGGGCCTCCGTGCCGAATTTCAGCTCTCCCGTCCAAACTTAAAAAAAAAAATACATTTCTGCACTGCCCATCTCGACGCGAAATCCACGGCAACGGTCGCAAAGAATCGATCGGTTGCCAAGAGAATCGGTCGAGGAGGACGAAAAATGCAAAGGAGCCGAGCCAGCAGGTTGAAATCGTGGTTGGCTGCGAAGACAAGAGCCCTCTTTTGCTCCTGCTGTTCCAGACAGGAAAACGAGAGAGATGAGGTGGAGCAAGAGGGAATTCCTCAACTGCCCAGTGAGTGATAACGATCTTTTTTTCCCATCTTTCCTTTGGATATCCCGTTCGACGACCCGGTGTATAGGGACGGTCGGTCGTAATCCATGTAGATTCACGCCACAGGTATCCACTCGAAGGTTCCCCGTGCCCTCTGGGTCCTCCGTGCCCTCTGGGTCCCCCGTGCCCCCTGGGTCCCCCGTGCCCTCTGGGTCCTCCGAGTTTCTCGATCGGGTCGCGGGGAAAACGAACCGTTCGGCCCCTCCCCGTCACCGATTCCCCATACACTGTCATCAGAGAGAGAAAAGTTGTCACCGTGACCAAAGGATTAAGAGCATTTTTTTTCCCAGGGGGATCCGTGGTTCCCTTGACGTTGCCCTCTGCGCGTCCCAAGGGGAAGAGGAAACGGTCACGCCTACAAGAAGAATGGGAGCGAGTGCGGACTGGAAAGGACCCAGAAGTGAACATCGAGGAGACGTGGGATATCGAGAACCCGATTGTGTTCCCTGCCACCCCAGGACCCTCCACCTCCTCCTCTCCGGACGAAAGTAAATTCCCTCTCTCTTCGACTCATGTTGCATTAACATTTAAAAGACGATCTTCGCCCCTCGGCGACCCATGGAACGACTCGTTCGCCGTTTCCTCGCGAACGAAGAGAAGAATCGAAGTACTTTTCCGATGCGGTTCGACCAATGTTCATATCGCTACGGACAGCGTATGGCTCGACTTTCGCGTCCCTCGGGAGGGAAGGATGCGAAAGTCAATGGTAAAGGTTAACGCCGTGAGGCGAACGGAGCCGGGGAGAAACATTCCTCGGTCGAGAAAAGACTCTTCTGTCGTACTCTTCCCGTACGACCCGAGCTCCGAGGAACGGCCGACTCGTTCTCTTCCGACAGGGACTTTCGTCGGGGATCTGCGGATGCAGTGGCGGTTCTTCCCGGACGGGCGAAAGCACGTATACTATTCCATCTACTTCCGGGAACTCCGATCTCCGAGGAACGGCCGACTCGTTCTCTTCCGACAGGGACTTTCGTCGGGGATCTGCGGATGCAGTGGCGGTTCTTCCCGGACGGGCGAAAGCACGTATACTATTCCATCTACTTCCGGGAACTCCGAGCAAAACTAATATGTTTCATCATGCTAGAACAAATGAACGAAACAAGCGTCTACGCCGGGGCCCTATACGAATTGACATCGAGTGACGGGTCCTTCCGGAAAAAAAGGCTCTCCCTTGACTACTTTATCCAACCCGCACGTCTTCCACCCCACGAAGACCAAAACTCTCCCCATGGGGCTCCCAATCCCTCCTGGGTGCCCCTTCCGTCCTGGTGACCCCTTCCTGATAGTCCCCTCCTTCCTGTTGGCCCATACATCCCAGTGGCCCCATGCATCCTTGTGGCGCCTTCTCTCCTGGTGGCCTATGCATCCCAGTGGCCCCATGCATCCTGGTGGCGTCTTCCCTCCTGGTGGCCTATGCATCCCAGTGGCCCCATGCATCCTGGTGGCCTATGCATCCCAGTGGCCCCATGCATCCTGATGGCGCCTTCCCTCCTGGTGGCCTATGCATCCCACTGGCCCCATGCATCCTGGTGGCCTATGCATCCCACTGGCCCCATGCATCCTGGTGGCGCCTTCCCTCCTGGTGGCCTATGCATCCCAGTGGCCCCATGCATCCTGGTGGCGTCTTCCCTCCTGGTGGCCAATGCATCCCAGTGGCCCCATGCATCCTGGTGGCGTCTTCCCTCCTGGTGGCCAATGCATCCCAGTGGCCCCATGCATCCTGGTGGCGTCTTCCCTCCTGGAGGCCCATGCATCCCACTGGCCCCATGCAGCCTGGTGGCGCCTTCCCTCCTGGTGGCCCATGCATCCTGGTGGCCCATGCATCCCAGTGGCCCCATGCATCCTGGTGGCACCTTCCCTCCTGGTGGCCTATGCATTCTGGTGGCGCCTTCCCTCCTGGTGGCCTATGCATCCCAGTGGCCCCATGCATCCTCGTGGCGCCTTCCCTCCTGATGGTCCTCTCCTTCCTTGTGACCCTTACATCCTGGGGGCGCCTTCCCTCCTGGTGGCCCATGCATCCCAGTGGCCCCATGCATCCCAGTGGCCCCATGCATCATGGTTGCCCAATCCACCCTGGTGGCGCCCCCAAGGAGAAAATCCTATCTTGTAAATTTATGGGGCCTGTGATAAATATTGATGGTTGGCCCGCATGGTCTTTTCCAGCTCCAAATCGTCATGTGAATCGTGGATTTCCATCCGCGACAGTGCCCTGTTCTCAAGATTTGGAGTAGGCCTAAGGTTGAGAAAGCAAATATGGATGTAAATATTCTGAGTTTCAGGAACCTCAGTCAACAATGAGCACAGAAGCTCATGAGGCACAGATGTAACGTTTTTGGACGCGAGGAGAGTGGGTCGGAGGTCATGAACTTCGGCTGTGTATCTCGCGAAAATAAGAGTCTGTTACATTTCTACGTGACGCTCGGAGACAAAGATTTCATATCTGATGGCACCGCTTGACTTCCTATGTGTTTGAGCAAGAAATTTATGGACATGCCCATTAGTAGAAGGGAAATTTATGTTGCGGTCGGCGAGAGAAGGACCTGGAGAAGTTGTTCTCTTCAATTGTCACCTGGGTGCGAAATTCCTTACTATGACTCCTAGGTGTGTTCTATTGCTCTGAGGACGGTAGGCCTGTGAAGCTCCTCAGCCTTATGTGTCAGATACTGACGACCATTATCGATCCAGTCCTGGCACTCGTGCTTATGCTAGGTTGGATATCAATTAGGGTAGTGTCCTCTCCTGTCCTCTCCATAGATTAGTGGCGGAAAAGGGGGGGGGGGGGGCGACCTAGATACTCGTATATACAGTATATGAGCCAGGTTAGCGTTTGATTTGTTTATTCAAAATGGCATCTGCATGAAATTTTGTTGAAGCCAGTGAAATAGATACTCCACAGAAGAAAAATTTAAAAAGGCTAAAGGACGGGAAATGGTGGTAGGCGGGGGGGGGGGGGGGTAGGAAAGGACTTGGGGAACCGCCCCCCCCTATGAAAAATTTCCCTCTGCCATAGATAGACAAACCAATAGCGCTAAATATCACCAGCCGCCACTAATGATCATAATTATCCTCCTTCCTTATTTTCAAGGAAAGGTGGAGGGGAGACATAAGAATCGGTCTCGGTGGGGGGATGACAGGTGAAGACAATTCTGGGAAGCCGGTCAGTACCCACACAGCACAGTGATATCCCAGTGATGTCCCAAACTGAACGACTTGTCCCCATGTCTTCATAGGATATCCTGAAGACATTTTCATTCGGATGGTTTCGGACATCTCGTTAGGGATGTCTACGGGACATCTTAGGGACATCTTCAGTCGATATTTTAGAGATATCCCTTTCGGGATATCTTTAAGACATCCTTATTCGAATGCTTTTGGATATCCCGCAACGGATATCTTTAAGTCATCTCACAGTTGTAGGTAAACAGCACAGCACTGAGATACATTTCAGAAAAGTTCCTATTTGGACTCAGTACTCAGAAGAAATGTATTTCCACCTCGGGCTATTATCAATAATATATCATATCAAGAAAAGCAGCGCTCTCCCCGAGTTTGAGTGGATGGCTGCCACCCTAGCGCCGATATGGGCCCACACTCCCCCACTAGCAGCCAACGTGGGCCCAACGTTGCGTGCGTGTCATTGTTTCTATTCTCATTCAGGAGACCTGCTAGCCCTCCATGTATTGAAAGAGGCTATGAAAGTGAAATAATTTCTAACCGCCTATTCCTATAAGTATTCCTACAGGATGCGCCAACGCAAATCTTTCTACTACCCCTCAAAACATTTGATACTACTAAAATCAAAGTAAGGAACCAAAGCCCGTTCACAAAGGACTCCTTCGGCGAAGGTGCGGGGCAGGTCATCCTGAATGCGCCCTTAGAAACGAATGGAACAAATTATAGGCAGAACCAACGTTGGAAGGAGTCGAACCACTGAGCTAAGAGTCGAACTCTTGTTACGGATAGCCAATCAGGAGTTGATGA